AAGTATGTGAATGTTTTTGCGTCTTTACTGCTGCAGGTTGTCATACCAACTTTGGCAGATCAAGAGCAAATTTTTCATTTATTTTCTTGTGAGCAAAACTATTATTGTATGTTTTGCGGTGGTTTTTTTTTTTTTTTTTTGTTTGTTTTGTTTTGTTTATAGCCCAGACTAGACAACTTTAGGAACTTTTGCATCAGCACTGTGATATTTGACAGAGTTACACCACAAAGGTATCCAGTGTTGATTTTCTTGATGCTCCCGGCACTTCAGAAGTGCACAAAAATGACCTAATTTCAAGAATTTGTACTCAAAGTCTGAGCACGCGCATGGAAGTCGCACATTGAAGATGTCTTTGAAGAATGTAATTTTGGGCAAACAGCCTGCCTGTTTCATGGTTGTGAGAAGGAGATGTTTAAGGCAGTCTAACTATGTTGGTAAAGCACAGGTTTAGGTAGGCTTGTTTACCTGATTAAAATACATTGCTATGGTATACAGACGGTGTTATGAAGATTGGAGACTGACAGTCATATGCACCTGGAAAGAGAGTTAAGCTCTTGTGCCCCTCCAGTCTACCTCTGTTTCCTTGAAGAAGAAGACAACAGCCTTCTGAAATGTAGTTGGTAGGGGAACGCTGGAAGCAAAGAAGCACTGCTGTGGTACTGACAAGCTTACAAAGTGAAGACTCACACGATTTTGACCTATGATCAGGAACTCTGTGGCCAGTGCTCTCAAACTAGTGGCTCAGAAGTTTACATGGATGTTCTGTTTGCAGCTTTCCTGTTAATGAAACTGGTGAGGTATTCAGTAAGCAGAATGTGATGTGGAACTGAGCTTCAACCAACAGTGTTGGCACCCAACCAGGATCCAAATTGTACCAGTTATTTTTCAGCATGCTGTGTCAAGGTTACGTACTTTATCTTCTTAGAGTTCTTATTTGCTAGAAGTCACTAATTTGCTTCAATGTCACTCTTGAGGCCTGCACAGTGGAAGTGACCACTAGGTGCAGACTGAGGTGGTGTGTTGGGCCACTGTGTCATCTCAGAGTTGAAAAACATCACTGGCTAGGTCTGTGTCAAAAAGTAAGCCCATTGTTTTGGAATTGTAGGACAATTGAAGGTTAGAAAATGTTATTTATATTTCTAGCCCCTTCAAATAATTAGTTTTACTTGGAAATTATTGCTGCTTAATGATGACCAAGAAGTGAGCTTTCCTCATTGGTGGATAAAATCACTTTTTTGTTTATTCAATTTGATATTCTTGTAAGAGTTTCTGGAGAGATGGTTTGATAGTTCTACTTCCTCAAGCTTGTCTATAATCAGTTTGAGCGGAAAAGAGTGGCTTTTTGTTTATTTTCCACACTATTTCAATTGTCTCAGGTTTAGCCAGACTTACCATTTTCACAAGTGAAAGAGCAAAAGGTATGCCATATGATCAGTGTTGAGTTTTTGCTGTGTCTAAACTCCAGTTCTGGTTGAAATACGCCTATGATACTTTTCAAACATAAGGACATGTTCGTGTAAACTTGTCACAACACTCAGTACCATATTGTGGGAGAATAAACAGGTTGTTAGCTGAGATGATGATGTTAATTTTTTTCCAGTCCTTGGTAATGGAGCAATGTTTCCTTTGAAAGCTTGAAGACAATGTTACTTGAGTGACCGGCTGCCCAACAATACCTGATGTTACCTTTTTATTGTCATGCCTTGTCAGGAAAGCCTGGCTCTAAATTGCAGTTGATGGTAGTAGCTGCATGTCGGTATTCAAGAATCTTCTTCTGAAAGGGGATTTTGTAACAGTATGACTAACTGATTGGAGGGGTACACTTCGTACTTTAATTAGAGCTAGCTTCAGTAAAATTGTATGTCCAATGTTATCTGTGCAGTCATGTGATGAAATTTGATTGAAAAAATAATTTTGGGTGAAACATTGTTTTCTCTACTGGTGAGAGGAGTGAGCATAGAGGAAACAACTGAAGTAGCAGAAAATAATTGAAAGTTTCTGCAAAAAGCTTATTGATGGCATATTGTTCTAATGCCTAAAGTTGAAAAGGATGAGAGGTTGATGCCCATCAGCCAGATTCCCTGCTCATTGAGAAATGTATTTGTCCCGGTCATCTGGAAATTCCACATGTATTTCTGCCTTTTAAGGATTACAGGTGTTAATTTTAATACAAGTATGTGAGCTTTTAAATATAAAAGCTCTGAATGAAATACTGAATGATATTTTCTGAAAACATAGCTTTGTCCTCTGGCTTAGCAAATTGTTAAGCAATGCCACACCAAGCAGGAATATTACTGTATGTAAATTGCTCTAGTTTTGTAATTATAATAACACCCACTTAGGAACCTGTTGAAACAGGTACAAGTACATTGAGATAGCTTATGTTCTAATTATGGGCCATTTATCTTTCTCTGTGGGAACAGACAAAACTCATTGCCTCTGTGTCCTTCCATAAGGAGGTCTAATTAAATTGTTGGGTCACATGTCCCTTCTACTTAGTTTAGGTCTTCAAGTCTGAAGGAAGTGGGTGTCTTTTGGTGTGTTTTTGTTTTTTGTTTGGTTTTTCTTTGTTTGTTTGTTTTGGGTTTTGTTTGTTTGGTTGGCTTTTTGGTTTTTTTGTTTTTGTTTTGTTTTCCTAGTAAGGTAGTTGGGAAGGTATTGTGAAAACTGTTGCTATGATTTGGACTCTTCCAGCGTCTGAGTAGCTCTGTGTCCTCTCAGGAATCTGGTTCTAATGGTCTGTGGCATGCAAGTGACATTTTTGATAATGGTCCAGATTTTTAAAATTTATGTCATGTTTATCACATATTCAGTTAGTATATGCATTTTTCTAGAACTTAATATTCAAGAGCAACTAAGTTTTGAGGGGAAAGCAGCAAAACCTGGAAAAACAGTAATTTTAAGAAGAACTGAGTTTCTTTTTGTAGTTTATGTGTAGACATCAGCCAGGTGTTCCCAGAAACCTTTTCTTCCTGGTAAACACCACTAGTTGTTGCTTTCCAGGGCCTGCTTTGGGTTGCAAGTCCCATGCTTTTTCTGGGCTCACGCTGCAGTCCACAGTGCACTGGGTTGAAGCAGATGCTTGTGTTTCAGATCAGTGCCAGTAATGTGGGCTTATCATCCCTGTAAGCCATATTATTAACTTTGTTTACATTATACTGTCAGCTCCATTTTATAGTATGGACTGTTGCTATTTTGGACCCCTATTGTCTTGAAAGTCACCTTTCTGTGATCTTAATTGGTCCAAGTCCTATAAGAGCTTTAGAGTTCAGCTGCAAGTGAGGCACGATCTGAGTAAGACACTTTAGAAGGTGGCCTGTGGTTGTGCAGGTCCGTTTTTTAGAGACCAGAGCAGACAGGTTAGCAGGTCATCTTTAGGTGAAACTGTAGCTGAGCCTGCAGTTTATAGCCTCCAGCAGCTTGTACAGAAGAAATATCAAGGTGCACCTCTGTTTTGAGAACAGTGATTTTTTTCAAAATGTTTTGCTTTATTTTTGTCATGAGATCTGGGATACCATTAAATGAAATGGAAGGCAACAATATAAGGGAAAATGAGTTGTGAGGAGAGGAATGTCTGTTCCATGTTTTTTTCCCTGTTTTTGAAATGTAATAGTAGGGTGGGAGGAGATATATAGGAAGATAGACTTGTGAACATCATCATCGAACTGAAAGAGGGTAGGTTTAGATTGGATATAAGGGGGAAAATTCTTTACTGTGTGGGTGTTGAGGCACCTGAAGGAGCTTGCCTAGAGAAATTGTGGCTTGCCCTGTCCCTGTAAGTGTTCAGGACCAATCTTGGATGGAGTTCTGAGCAACTTTGTCTAGTGGAAGGTGTCCCTGCTCATGGCAGAGGGTTGGAATGAAATAGGCCTTGAGGTCCTTTCTGACTCAAACTGTTCTGTGATTCTGTGAACATTGTAGGGCCTCTTTGTGAGATCATTTAAAAGAGCTTGAGTAAGTGGCACAAGTCCTGAAATAACTGGCAAATACTTTATGAGAGTAAGGAAGTGCTTGTGAGATAAACCTGTACAAGGGGGAGATTTAAGTTAGTTAAAAAGGACAGGATGGCCATGCTATGTGTAGACCAGTACAAACTCCATCGTGGGCTGAAGGAGAAACATGAAGATGAAATGGTGTCTTAATTACTTTTGAAACTCTGGCTGATGAATTCTGAACTCTTCTCCTTATTATTTCGTCTGAAGTGTTACTGGCTAGCATTTTAATGATGCAGACTCTGTGTTAGTGTTATATCCGTTTTCAACCCTCAGTGCTAAGTGAATAGTATGCTTGAGTATGACAGCAGCAGCAGCATTGTGGGAACCCAGGACATCCCTCTGGCTGTCTCAAGACCCTGGCAGGGGGCTCAGAGACCTTGGCATGAAGTCAAAACCACCTGTGGCTTTGATTTTGGCCCATGGAAAAAACTACCAACTTTGTGTGAGGAATTACAAGCCACAAGGGTTTGAGTAGTGTGGTAGTTGAATTAACACAGGGTGAAAAACTAGAATTTTGGGGTTTTTAGAATGGGGTTAGAGGGGACAAGATGGAGGGATTTGGGTGTGTCCTGACCTTCTTCTTCTTGCCCTCCATGTCTTGCTGTGATGATGAGACTTTTCTGTTGGTTTAAGGTAGAGACGCACCGTCCAACGTAAGTGATAGATATTGGCATGTTATTGTAAACATAGCACGCGTTGTTTCTGGTATAAAATGTGAACACCGCCCTAGAGGGCAGACAGAATGCCATGCCTGACTTGCTAGACAGAAATTAGCAGGTTAGAGAAAGAATGTTATAAATAACAGAAAATAAACAAGCTTGAGAAGCTGACCCTACACGTTCAGACTCCTTTGGCTGCGCAAACTGGAAAACAAGGACTTTTACATTCTTGGGGTCACTTTGATCCACAGACCCCGAGGCAGCATGAGACTTGTTTGGCATGGGGTTGTGTTCACAAATTAGAAATGTACTCATGTGACCAACTTTGTTGTTTTTGCACTTCCAGATGGATGGAGGCCTGTTTGAATGAGGAGCTGCCTGCCACAACAGAGCTGGAAGAAGGATTGAGAAATGGAGTCTACCTGGCAAAACTTGGAAACTTTTTCTCCCCTAAAGTGGTTTCTGTGAAGAAAATCTATGACAGGGAACAGACTAGGTATAAGGTGAGTGCTGTTGACCATGGATACTTCTTTTGGTAGACATCTGAAATGGGAATATGTACACATGGAGATACTGTGAGAAAATAAGCAGAAAGTTAATTTGTATTAGTCTTACCTGAGAAACTCTGCCTTCACTCCAGAGCAATGGTTAAATGAGGGGGTGGGTGGACTCTTAGCTTTATATGTAAGCTTGCACTTAGGTGAAATAATTTGTTGTAAACGGTCAATATAAGCATTTATAGAAGACTTCAGACTTCTTTCCTGCAAAAGTGCTGTTTTCGCTATCTGTGTTAATTAAACTCACTGCTGTTCTTGACAGCTGTGATATTTTGTTTCTTAGTGCCCTCACTCTTGTTTCTGCTGATTTTTATTTCAGGCAACTGGTCTCCACTTCCGACACACAGATAATGTAATCCAGTGGCTGAATGCCATGTCTGAGATTGGTCTCCCCAAGGTAACTTCTGTCTTGTACATCCAAATAAATAAATACTCTTCAGAAAAGTTTTGCATTCTATGGAAGCATTTGCTGTTATAAAAAAAAATCAGCACACTTATTCTAGTTAATTCTTAAATTTCTAGATTTGTGTCCCTGTAGAAACTCTCTCCTAAAACTTGCTGAAAGATTTCATTCTGCTACATATGTGAGAATGACTAGGAGCAAAATAATTTATCCCTGTGTATCATTTCCCTGATATTACTTATCTTGCACAATCTCTGCAATACGTCATTCTTGCCATGCATTCTTTTGAGCGGTATCCAGACTACAGTTTGATTGTGGAAGTTTTTTTAGAAATCAATGCTAAACATAGCAGCACAACAGAAAATACTATGTTCTCTGTTTCTTCAGATTTTCCTATTAAATTTTCTGTCGAGTTTAAATGTTCCTGGTGTGACTTAATCAAATATAAATGATTGACTTGACTGGAGAAATGTCCAGATAAACTTCTTGGAGCTAATAAACACAATTGCCTGAAAATATATGGAATTGTGGTAGCATTGGGCTGACAGTCAAGTTTTTTTGTAGCCATGTTATGCATAGTCTCACCAAAACTGGCATTTTGTAGTTTAGTTTGATGCATGTTTTCTTTGCCTATGTGCTTGTAAATTGAACACTTCGGTTTTGGCAAAGATTTTAAAATAACTTGTTGTGATTTACTAGTTGAGCTTTCCTGGGATCTGTGGTGCTCTTACAGAAACACATTTGGTATTAGGAAATACCGAAATATGCTGTTAGGGTGGTTAGGTGAAAAGAAATGAGGGATTTAGACAGAGAGACGTTAAGTGCCAGCTATGAGGTAAGATTTGCAGATGCAAGTAGGGTTTGGATGGAAGTAAATGTGTGAGAAGATGTTGAAGAAACTGGGCTGGGGTTCCCATGCAGAACAGCCAGGGCACTGATACTGTGGAATTAAGGGTCTTTCAGTTGCTCTTGCCTTTACAGAAAGGGCAGTGCTATTTTGTGCTCGTAGGCAACAGCAAGGAACCTTCAAATAGCTGGAAAAGAACATACTTCATTATGTTACAATAAATCAGGCCTTCTGAAATTGTTGAAACTTTATTTGTTAAACTTTGAAGGGCTTTGTGTTTGAAAGCTTCTGGGTCCAGCTAACTGAAAATATAGTATGCAAAGCACCTCTGCTGGTCTGGATTTCCAGAAAATTCTGGAAAACTGAGTGCTGGTCTGGGTTTCCAGTTTCCCTTTGAAACTGTCTCTCCTCTTGTTTCTCAACCACATTTAATCCAAAAAAATTTCTGTTTTCTCTTTTCTTCTGTAAGTCTTCTTTTTTTCATTCTTTAGCTGTCATGGAAGTCCTTGCTAATACCTCATGACCTGGTGTCTTGGTGTACACAAAAATGAAAGGTTCTGCCCATCACACATGTAAAACTTGGCAGGAAAAGGGGACCTCTGATTTGGGTATTGGAAACAAAAGCAAGCATTGACACTTCATTAGGAGAAACATTGGTCCAGGGCAGAGAACCTTGAAGAGTTTTATTCCATGAGCTGTTTCTCTAGTGTAGTGTGGAAGAATTGAGATGACGTGATTTGGCTGTATAGAGTGAAGATAATTCAGACTGCTATCTTTGTTTTATCTTTAGATATTCTACCCAGAAACAACAGATATCTATGATCGCAAGAACATGCCACGCTGTATCTATTGTATTCATGCACTCAGGTAAGGAATTCTAGACAGAAATCTGATTGCTTCTGAAATCTTCCTGCAAAGTTGCAATGTAGCAGGAGAGAAAACCGAACTGAAGGCTGGATGAGGGCAAATTTTCTAGCAGAACAATCTCATCAGGTCCACAAAGACCCATGAAGCCAATATTTTGCCTTGGGCAGTGGCCAAATCAGATTCTGAAGGAAAAAAGCCAGTCAAGTATGTTGAGATTGCTACCTTTTCATTATGGTTCCCAACCTCTCTGCTGTCTGAGGCAGAACTAGACATTCTTTAACCAAGAAAATAGTAAGGCACTGGCACAGATTACCCAGAGAAGCTTTGGCTGTCCCATCCCTGGAAGTGTTCAAGGCCAGGTTGGATGGGGCTTGGAGCAACCTGGGATAGTGGAAAGTGTCCCTGCCTGTGGCAGCAGGGTGAGTTGAAAGTAGATGATCTTTAAGGTCCCTTCCACCCCCAGCCTTTCCGTGATCTGTGTTGAGCTAGCAAGACAGGCAAAAAGTAGGAGTTGCTTTTCTTCTCCCAGACCCATCTTTCTGCAGCTGTATGGGTTCATCCCTCCTTTGTAGCGATTCCGTTTCTTATCAGGCTGCAGGTGAATACATTAACCCCATTTTAGTAGGCCAAATCAGCCTAGTGAATACTTCGCTATTGGAAATGCCACACCTGCAGTCCTGTATCTAGTTCTGGGCATTAGAGAGACACAAACAAGCTGGAGAGAGTTGAAGGAATGGTCACTAAGATGCTTAATGGACTAGAGGATCTATCCTATCAGGACAGGCTGAGACAGTTGGGACTATTCAGCTTATATAACATATAGTGCCATGGTAATCTCAATAATGCATGCAGCTATCTGAAGGGAGGATGGAAAGGAGATGTGAAGTCAGGCTCTTCTCAGTGATGTCCCATGATGTGACAAGAGGCAAATGGCATAATCTGAACCATAGGACAGTCCCTTTTAACATCAGGAAATGTTTCATTTATCTGCGAGAGTGACCAAGGGGTGGCACAGGTTGCTCTGAAATGTGGGATCTCCACTGTTGTGATCCTCAAAAGCCATCTGAAATGATCCTAGGGAATTTGATCCTATGTGACCTGGTTTGAAAAGGGAGTTTGAACAAGACAAACTTGAGTGTGCCCTTCTAGCCTCAACCATTCTATAATTCTCTGATGACTTCATAGTGGTGGGCCAGTTACATTCTGCTAAGGGGGAAAAGAAGAGTCAGCTCACTCTCTTGTTGATTATCAGCTGTTATATTGGCTTACCTCTCCTTGAATCTGTATCTCCTAAAACTGTATCATTGTCAGAACCACAAGGAAAAATTACTAGTTCTAATTATTTGCTTATTTTCTTTTCTAGCCTGTACCTTTTTAAACTGGGTCTTGCCCCCCAGATTCAGGATTTATATGGCAAGGTAGACTTCACAGGTAAAAAAAAAAACCCAGCACTTACGTATTCTGCTTTTATCTCATACTCTTCTAGATCAGTTATTGAACACTTGTTTAGGTCAATTAAAGGATTGTTGCTGTTGCTATCCTAAATGCAAATAAAATTATAAATGAATGACTGTGAGGAGTTTTAGTTATTTAAGAAAAAGAGACTTCACTTGCCAGGTTCTGAGTCAGGCAGTTAGACAGTCATCGGTTCTGTAATCGCCTGCTTTCACAAATAACAATGTCTTAACTCTTTTGTCACTGTTGTAACATGCTTAAGCCTTGCATCCATCTCCTTGGGAGAGTTTTCAGTTTGGAACTTACTACATTGTTCTGACCTCCTGTGACTGTTTAGAGGTGCCATCACTTAAGAAGTGTTTGACAGCTGATCTGCTGCAGGAGATGCTAGCACAAAGTCATGTGTCCACACATGTCCTCAAAGTTTCACTTCCTTAATTTTGTGAAAATGTCAAATTCTGTGTTTTGCATTAGTGAGACTCTTGCCCAAGGGCACACATCTGGTTTAAAAGGTGTATAAACTTTATTTCCCTGCAAATTGGTTGTTGATTATACTTACAAAATGCTGAACTATTAACTCTCTTTGAGAGTTGTATGATATTTAGCAACCGCATGTGTTGACGCACTGCATTTGCTTCTCTCAATGTAGTCTGTTTGTGCAGAAAAAGAAAATCTTTAACTACTCCCTGTGCGTTTTCCTGACCTGTTGGCAAGCACAATTGAGGTACCTCAGAATGGAGTTGGTTTCCAGCTCCTCATGAGAGTTCTTGTTTTGTTTTCTAATAAGAAAAACTACAGAATACTCCCGTATGAGTTTCTGGGAGAAATGTAGATTTTAGCAAAGTGTGCAGAATGTCTTAGCATTTTAATTTATTTTGTTTCACTTACTGAGTTACATTCAAAGTATTATTTAAATAATAATTGTCATCTATTGTAGCTGTCCTATTTCTTTTTTTTTAGCAGCAGTTAGTACAGCGGTGCTAATGCATTGTTAATGCTAATGCCATGTAACACTATTTTAATGTATGTTTCAGAGGAGGAAATCAGTAATATGAGGCTTGAACTGGAGAAGTATGGTATTCAGATGCCTGCCTTCAGCAAGATTGGAGGAATTCTTGCAAATGAACTTTCAGTGGATGAAGCTGCATGTAAGGAGAAATGGCATTTTGTTTGCTTATTCAAATCAGCAGATCAATTTAGTGTTGGTTTTAATGCTGCAGGTTTTAAGCGTAGTATAGTCTTTCTGATAGGCCTTTTCGAAAACTGGGAATATATTTTTATTCTTTCCCTTGTGTATTTTTCTTTTTTCTGGAGCATGATGATTTGACTACTTAAAATATTGTAACTAGAAAGTAGGCTGCTATTTTTTTCAACAACATAAAGCCATGATGGAATGAGAGATACTTTGATAATTATTTTGCTTTCCAGTTAATTTTCAGATAATTTTTCTGCTCTTTTCAAATAAGAGGTTCTGGATTTCTAGATTTTTGACAGTGCTATTTTGTTTGGGACTAACTGGCAGACTGTGGCTTGTTTTTCAGTGCATGCTGCTGTCATTGCCATTAATGAAGCAATTGACCGTCAGGTTCCAGCTGATACACTTACAGCAATGAAGAACCCTAATGCCATGCTAATAAATCTGGATGATCAACTGGAATCCACTTACCAAGCCACACTCTACAGAGCAAAGCAAGACAAGATGGAGAATGCCAAAAATAGGGTAGCTCAGTTCTTCTTTCAAACCATTTGCATCGATGGCCATTTTGTATTGCAGTGTAAACTGTGGGGAATTCGCCAAACGTGTATTAAGGCCCTGTATGTGTGGTCTTAGGTGGATTTACTCCTTGTGGCATTCTATTATGTTCCCCAGTAACTTATCTTCTTGCAGATATTCAGGCAATATTTAGCTGTGTTAGCCTGTTTAGCCGTCTGAAATATGGGCCGCATAGATATAGAATTCCTGTCAGCATTTTTATGTTGGGAATGCATCCTTCTGTTTTCACAGATATGTTTTCCTAATAATGAAATGATGAGCAAAAATGACTGATGCTGGAGGTGGTCCATGTTGCTTTAGAACACTGTATAACACATGCCTAACTCTGTATACTGCTTTCTATGTCCTGGAGCTCTACTGTGTGTTCAGTAGTGCCATTTGACTGAAATAAGACGTTTCTAAGCTGTCTGTATCACTTTGACTACAGTTACTCTAAATGTACTTATATCTAGGGCTTCTTTTTGCATGTGTAGAGGCATGTATGTATGGCCTGTCACAGATCTATAAGGGGTCAACATTTACCCTTCCTGACCTTTTCAGTTAGGTATGTAAGGGAGAAGGAAGCTGTAGAAACCCTGATTAGTTTGTATTTCATCTTCAGATTGCCTCAGAAAGTTCAGATAGAGAGAGAGACGTGTATGAAGAACTTCTGACTCAAGCTGAGATTCAGGGAAACATCAATAAAGTGAACAGTAAGTGTCATGTTATACTAAGAGTCTTAATTAAAAGTATACTTCAAAATGATACCTATGCATCTCTTTTTCTGTAATGCTGACAAAATTTCAAGGCAGCTCCCCTGTTTTTGTGGTGGGGTGTTTTGGTTTTCTTCAGTTGTGTGGTTTTGTTTTTATTAGTTGGTTTTGGTCTTGTTTCGGTTTTTTAGTCATTATCAGTACATAGTTGTAAGCTTAATTCACTATGACTTTTGTTACCCTTCATTTTGGAAATGGATTGTTCCACGTTGCTGGGCCCTTCAATTCTTCATCCTGAATAGTGCATGCCATTTCCAACCATTAGCCTGTTTTTCAGGCTAATAATTCATAATTGACTTAATAATTGATTCTGGAAGTGTTCCTTTTGGATTACATACCTAACTTGCTATCTATCATATCTATCAGGTCTAAGAGTATTTCTTTCTGAGTGGTAGGTTATGTAAACCGTGGGACTTTCTCAAGACTCTGTTTTATTGTTGCTAGCACATGCAGCCATATCAAAGATTGACTTGGCTTTGGAACGAGGGGATGCACTAGCACTGTACGAAGCTTTGGCAACACCAGCCCTGGGACTCCGAGGATTGCTACGAGAAAATTGCGACTGGTATTTCAAGCAGTTCTTGAGTGATAGGCAACAGAAACAGGAGGTATGGAAAAGTGTAGATTACCCTGATTTGTGAGATTTTTCCCCTGCTCCTGCCTTTCACCATACAACTGTGTACTAATCACTTGGTATATACCTGCATTATGGTTTAGTGTTGTCTAGGAAAAATAAATATTAAGAGATGGAAGCATTCAGTAAGACTGTCTATTATTTAGGCTTTATCTCTGCATGTGAAAGGCCAGTACAGTGTTTATATGTAGGTGTGCATATAATAGACCAAACCTTAGACTACTAACTTGTGTGTGTATAGGACTATTAAAATTAAGGTGCGTCCTCCCTTGTTTTGCTATTGTCAGTGCCCAAATAATGTGAATATATGTGTTTTATAAACACCTGTCAGATAAGCTTGAACTACTTTCACTGTGGAGATTAGTCATAGACTACTTGAAGGCATTGTGCTAAGGGACATGGTTTAGTGGTGGACTTGGCAGTATTAGGTGTATGGTTGGACTCAATGATCTTAAGCATCTTTTTCAGCTTCAGTGATTCTGTAATGCTGCCCAAGTAGTTAAAGTCATCCTTCCCCCCTAGTTACTCAGTCTTGTTTTCTATGTGTATTTGTGTAGTATCATAATAGTCCAAGAAGCACATATGTATAAGCCAAAGCTGCTTCTTGTCCATTTTGATGTTCTGCTAACTCTATAGTTGCTCAGAGGTAAAATGCAACATGACTTACTGGATTGTCTCATGCCAAACTGCACAATTGCTAGTCTTGCTTTAGCACATAGCTCATGTACAGGGAGCCTTTTCCCACAAAGTTGTGCCTTTTATCTTAAATATGTTGCCACTTTGGAAGCAGTCTTGCCTTTTATTGCTATGTTCATGGGACTGCAGTTCTGATATAAAAAAGATCAGGTTGTACACATGCAATCTTTCAGCACCTGAACTGAGAATCTGGTGAGTAATTTCTGATTTCCTTATGTATATTCTTTCTGGTTTAAGTTCAAGTGGAGTATTTTTATTGAGGTAATTTGAATTAACTTGGCATTGTTTCACCCTTACAGTTTCTGTTTTTTCCTTCAGGCTGGCCTTACAGGTCCTCTGCAGAAGGAGGAGTTGCAGTTGGGAGTGGATGCTGCTAACAGGGCAGCACAACAGTACCAGCAAAGTAAGGATCAGTAGAAATTATTGTAGCAAAGTCACTGTGCATGTGATCAAACAAATGAGTATTTGGGTCTATTATGAATGGTCATTGTGAATGTTCTTTAAGTACTTTACAGCTGCTAAGAACATTAAAGAGAGCTGGTTGCCCTAATTATTTGCAATGTCTTTTATCTTACAATGTGGCTGGAGATAACAGCATTAAAACATTAATTTGAATTAAGAAACATAGACTTTTTGCATCCATATTAAATAACCTCTTTTTATAGAATACTTTTATGAATTTTTGTGCTGTGGATCTGTGAAGAAAATCTGGATTGCTCCAAGAGATATGAAAGATAGGTTTATCTGCTGATTGTTCACCCTGAGCTACAGAACCTTTACTGTTTCTGAATATCAGGTAGCAAATAAAATGCAGATCATTTGCTGATTGTCTTTTGATAGATGCTTCTGAGACCACAGAGAACTTTCTTACTGTCCAGGAGCAATTCACTTTGTAGAATTGTATATAGGTAGAAAGGAGACTAACAGAGATTGGAGAGAGGATTTAGAATACAAGAGGAAAATAGCAAATGCTGAATTAAGTAGGCAGCTACCTTCAAAGTACCTTACTTCTTAGACATGGAAGTCCACATTTGTTTACCTTCTTGCAGTGTTTTAAGTTAGCCAGCAGGTACCCACTACAGAGTGCCTGTGTTACTGCCTTGAGCAGGATGGAGGTAGAAAGGAAGAGAAAATTGGTATGATTCACTCATCCAAAAATTTGCAATGAGGCTTCTTACTGTCAGAATACTGAAATGGTAAAGCAGTCCCTTGATAATCAGACAAAAAGGTGAACTAGTATTAAATATGAGCATTGCGTGCTTTAATGGTCTTCATTAATGGAATACTAGCTATCTGGGGATGTATGGATCTGAGAGTTTGGCTCTTTCCCTGCAGTTTGGGTATTATTCTTTCTCTAGTTAAGTACTGTTATTATGGGAGTGTCAACTGTGTAGCTTCAGTATTTTTTGTGCTCTTTGAATTTCTAGGACTGGCAGCAGTAGCCAAAATTAATTCAGCAATTCGAATGGGTGATGCTGAGAAGACTGTGGCAGAAATTATGAATCCAGAGGCCCAGTTACCAGAGGTTTATGGATTTGCTGCAGATCTCTACCAAAGGGAGCTGGCCACCTTACAGCAACAGAGCCCTGAAGTAAGTATCACCTTCTCTGTTACTTCTGAAAGCTGGCATGGGTCACTGGGTCTACCTGTTTTCTTAAATGCGTTCTCTGGAACAAACCTATCTTGAGTCTTCACAGAACTGCTTTGGTGTTCAGTCTGTTCTGATGTGGTTTAATCCTTTAATCTTGATCTGATTGGCCTTGTAAGACTTTAGCTCAGTCTGTTACTTGGTGCTCTAGCTTTATGATACTAACCTTTCTACCTTATTGTCTTAAAGGATGTTCCTTTGCCTTGTTACATGTCTGTTCTGACAGTTACTCCATTATTTTCTATGTGCAGCAATAGTTTGCATAGAACGAATAGAATTAATTTATTGTCCTCTTTGTATGCAGGGTCACCTCACCCATCCAGAACTATCTGTTGCTGTAGAGATGCTGTCTTCTGTAGCCCTGATTAACAGGGCTTTGGCTTCAGGGGATATGAATACAGTGTGGAAACAACTGAGCAGTCCTGTTACAGGCCTTACAAACGTTGAGGATGAGAACTCGCAGAGGTGAGTAATTCAAGGAATCGTAGCTATCTGTTGCATCTGTTCTGTGACTTCATGAATTTTATTTTCCTTCTCTTAAATGTTACATTATTTCTACATTATTTGTTACAGTGTGGATTTAATCTCTGCTCTCTCTTGCATCTTGTTTTTGCAATTACTGTTTCTTACTGGTTTGATTCCCATGCTGTCTTTCAGTGCTTTCTTATGGATTTCACATTAAAGCCATGCTGTAATACCATTAGGTCGTCACTAGTAGTTACACCAGCTCACCTATTTTCTTTGCTCTGATTTAGTGTTTCAGTGCTTTTTTCTATTTGGCAATTTTGTCTGTTTGAACGTCCTTCACATTTGTACTGACATCCTTCACATACACAAGCATTTCTCTTTCTCCCCATTTTCAGTTTCAGCCTTCATGTTACCTCTCCCACTTTGTGTGCGATTCTCAGTGCTGGGTTGTGTGCTCCCTGAGCAGCTTGTTGCAGTGTCATGTTTACTGGGTTTGGTTTTTGTTTTCTGACAGATACATTGATGATTTGGTGAAGCTGAAAGCTGAAAGAAGTGCAGAAGGAAATGAATTTATCACATGGAATGATATCCAATCATGTGTTGATCATGTGAACAAAGTTGTGCATGAAGAGCACGAAAGTAAGTTTTCTGTTCAATTCATGGTAGACCGATTGTAGGTTATAAGGAGTGCTAAAATTACATGCGTGTCAATACAAAAAGTTACTGATTGACTTGTAGCTGTCTTATACATTAGATATCTAGGAAGATCTTAGTTGTGAACAAGATTTGGTGTTTTATAATATGAAAGTGTTGATTACAGGATTTTTGTTGATGGAGACATCAGGCAGTCTGTTGTGTTTGTCAGTATTTCAAAGCTATTTATTAATCCTTCCAGTGTAAATTTCAACTCTTTTCGGGTTGGAAATTGATTGTCTGGTGTCAGTGTCTGGGATTAGTCTAGAATCTTCTAATTTTGCTTCAATCCCCCAAATTTAAGCTAGTATTACCAAAATCTCTCAATTAGTCGTAGCCTTGTCTTGGGGTGCTCCATCCTTCTTCCTAATTTGCTGCGTTCAATAGAAGATACTTTTCTTGAAGTCTTATCCTTTTATTTGGTGGCTACTTTTTCCCTCGTCAGGTTTTCCTCTTCTTCCTTTTATTTATTTTTTTTTAATCTGCATTGGTCTTTTTACCTTCCCACTGTTTCATTTCCCGTTTTAGTTGCCAGTAATTTAGCTCCGTAATCGGAAGATGTGCAAAAATCCTCTGAAGTTGCAAATGTCTAACACAGATCACTGGTGAGACTCCAGCTCCCTGGGTGCGGGGGCACTGATATTTGAGCTCTCACTGTGACCATGCTTCTGAAGTTAATCCTTCAAGTGTACTATGTGTCTTATGCCTTGCAATCACACTGCTGCTCAGTGTTTCCCTAGACGGCTTATTAACGTGGAGCATGGAAGCCTGTTCCTTTGCGTTCATATAAAAAGTGTGATTGAGGAATCACCACTAATGCATTGCACTCACTTAAAGGCATTTGTTCAGTAGTCCTACAGTGAAGGACTCCTACATTGAAGTTTCTACATTGAAGAGAATAGGAAAAGGTGTAGTATATACATATATATACAGTGTGAGGTTCAACAGGGCTTGGAGCAGCCTGGTCTGTAGTCTTCTTGGTCTCGTGGAAGGTGTGCCTTGCCCGTGGCAGGGAGGCTTCGAGCTAGGTGATCTTTAATGTCCCTTCCAACCCAAACCACACTGCAGCAAATGTGAGTACTGAAAATTAAATACTCATGAAGAAAAAAAATTACTGCTGCAAGGTGGAAATAGTGAATGAGTGTTAATGTAATTTCTATGATTCTAGTCCTGCAAATTTTTTACTTTCTATTTATCAGTAGTATTTATGTTAATAACGGTCTTTTAGCAGTGATAAAAGACTAGGGCTGAGTGTAATTATGAAAACTCCATCAGAAAAGAAAATTTGGGTAATTCTTCTTGTGCTAAGACAATATGAGTTGACGTAAAATCCAGAGTGGCGAGAGAGGAGTCCTTGGAAATAATACAGTTAAACAAACTTATTCTTCAGTAGATCCTTGTGATGTTCTGTTTCATATGGTTTAATTTTTGTTTTTTTTTTCCTTGTTGTCATTAAGAGTTGTTAGTTTTTGTTTATGACCAATACTGAAAAACTCCTGGGTTTGACGCTAACTTTGAAGCCATCTTTGTAATATTTATAGTTTTATAATATTTAATATCTCAGCAAGGCTTGGAGCTTTGCATCGTAAAGCGGGAGAGACTTGTCACAAGTCTGGAGGTGATGATAAAGTTTATGTTGTACACTGAGACAAGCGGGTGTCTTCTGCCACCCCTAGTTGTGTACCTGGTGTGTTGTGTTCCGCCTTGCAAAGCTTATACTCTAAAGAGGGTTTACTTTTAAATTAAAAGGTTGCTATCTTGGTTAACTTGTTTCCTGGATCTCCAAATAGACACTGTGTTTCCTATTTGGGTCACATAAGTAGATACGTTGAAACTGCACAAACAGGGTGCCACAGTGGGGGTGCACACATCGGTGCTGGTTTTATAGTATCTTTTCTGTGTAAGAGGTTAGAGTGGAATTCTAAAAGTTGGTGTAGTCCCAACATTCCTGTTTCTTTAAACGCTCCTTGTCCCGTAAGAAAAGGTGCAGAAAGTGCTATAATGAGGTAAATTGTTATCCTGGAGAATTTCTTAATTCTTTGGTCTGCTTTGTATCTGCCCTTATGCAAAGATTAAAAAAATATCTTCTCTCTATGAATAACTTAAATTAGTCAGAGAAGGTCCTCAAGCTTTGTGGATGTATGTGTGTATATATATATATATATATATATATATACAGATATATATAGGTATATAAATATAGATATATATATATGTGTGTATTTTTTTTCTCTGTGCTTTAAGTTACCGTATCTGTTTTTTGAAAGAAACCATGCCATAATTTTAGTGATGCAGTTCTTACAATGTCCTCAGCGTATATTTTTCTCTGATCTCTATTCCATCCAAATGTAATCTCTTCCCCAAGATGTTCTACTTTTTGTATGAACTTCTGTTTTGTGAGTCTTGTGTTGAAGAGTCACAATCTTTGAATACAACAACCAAAGTTAGAGATTCCCACACTGAGCTCCTTTCTTTTATCTAAAAGACTTCTTTGTTCTGCACTGAACAAACCATGGTTGCATCCTTCTTTAAGTAGAGAATTGAATCGGATGAACTCTGGGATTCATCTGAGCCTGAGTTATTTATTGATTTTCAGGATCAGTTGCTATAGATGTAGATTCTGTTTGCATTTAGCTAACTGTAAGGTCTTTATTTTGCTGAACAATAAATTTTACTGTACTTAAATAGGATCCACTTCTCTGATAGTACAGCTGATACTACGTATGTCCTTAATAAAAGAGTTTTCTAAAATGCAAGGTTACTGTATTTTTAAATTATATTCCATGCAGGTCTTTAGTTTCATGTGAAGATTTCTTTCTGGAGAAGCCAGAACCTTGGAATATTGTGAACTCTGGCCATTTGGGCTTTCTAGAAGCTTTGAGCTGAGTGTCTGAGGATTCAGTTTTGTCCCTGCATGTGGTCTCCCTGAGGTGTTTTTTTTTTTTCTTTGAAGCTTTATTTTTTTAGTTGCAGCCCTCAAGGATTATGACTTTGGTTTCTTTGCTAGTAAATAATGTTTTCTTTCAAAAATATTGTGGTTCTGAGCTGTTACTTGATTTAGGGGGGATTAACTGCACTTTTCTTCTTAAGCAATGCTTGTGATAATTGTTGACCAAGAATGGAACTTTGTCTTCCCCCTTTGCATTCCTCCCTAGGGATTTTGGCAATTGGTCTTATTAATGAAGCTCTGGATGAAGGGGACACCAAGAAAACTCTTCAAGCCTTACAGACTCCTGCAGCAAAATTGGAGGGTGTAGCCCCAAAGGTAGCACAGCATTACCAGGATACACTACTTCGAGCCAAGAGAGAGAAAGCGCAGGTGAGTGCAGTTAAATGCCCCTCTTGAAAGACTTTTACATTAGTGTTGCTGGATTCCTACTGGTCTTGAAAGCCAGAAATCAAAATTGACAATGGAGAGGTAGGCATTTTGCATACCTTCAACGAATCTTAACCAATCAGAAAGAGATTTCAGCTAACAGTGTGAAATCCATGAACTGTGGAGATGGGTATAAGGATATTAAATGCACGTGGTGGCTTGCTGTAGCTAAACTCGGGTCCCAAGTGAGATACGTATCTTTTTTGTGAAAAAATAATATTCATCATCTGTTTTTGCAAGGAGATCATGTTCATTCGAGGAATACTGAACTGCTGGTGTCAAGTTTTCTGCAAGCTTAAGTATTTTCTTCTAATGTTCTGTGTTAAATGTACTCTTAGGTATAGTCATATATATGGAAAAAAAGAAAGTTTCTGGAAGTGGAAAAATCTGTAAAGTGATAAATTAGAAAAAAGATGAGAAACAACATACATGCTACCAGCAACATATATGCTGTTGTTCACCTGATGACACTTACATAGCTTATGACTTTTTTGAGCAGAAGTTGTCATTAGCCAAGGACTTCTACTGACTTGTACATAGTTGCAGTTTTCACTAACTGAAAGGTGAAGATGAAGAGAGGAAGAGCAAGTTTCATCTTACAGGTATAAGAAAGCATGACGAGTGCACGTGTGTGTACGCAAGTGATTTTTGGGTAGTAGGGATAGGACGCTGATTTTTTTTTTTCCTTATCTATTTACAGAGAAGTGGCAGATGTCTGCGTTCAGTGGTTTGAGAGTGTTTTGTTTTCTTTCTTTGGGTGTGGAGCTCATTGCTGTAATAGCAATGCACAATTTTGTATAGCGGCTAAGGTCTAGGTTGTGTTGAACATTTTGTTTTTGACTAAAGGTAAACAAGTGTGATGACAATAGCTGAAAACTGTATGCAGTTCTGATGAAAATCATTAAACAGCTTTCCCAAGGGTCTTGACAGGGTTAATGTTCCTCAGGATCCATTTTGTGCTGAAGCATTTCCTCTCGCTGAGTCAGAATGAAACAATGAAATCTTTTTATCCTGTACTTAAACTTGTGCCAGATTGTGCTGTTAACTTCTGAGTTGGTATGAAATTGCCTTATTTAGGCATAAGATAAATAAAGGGCTTCTCCCAGCAGCATGGGAAAAATTCCAGAAATAGAAAGATCACATTATACCGCAGCAACGGAGAAAATAAGCACAATCTGAAGTCAATTGTTATGAACTAGTGATTTCTGTACCTTGGGGTTGAGGGGGACTGTTGTTCACCTGAAGATGTTGTTCGGTTGCTCACTTGAATGGGGAGTACTGTACCATGCATGTTTCTGATGTGATGAGGTGAGAGAGAAAAAACCAGTAGACTCTGTAGTATGTTACAATGTGTGTATCTTGCAGAAAGCCTTGCAGCAGTAAAACTGTAGAGAAGCATGACATGGTTTTGGTAGTCTTCAGATTGACTTCTGTGGATAGATAGTACAGTAGAGTTACAGTGATGATTCTCCCGCACATCCTGGACAGGAATTTTGCTGTTGCTGGTGCTTTTGTGGAACTGTCTGGCTTTCAGATGGAATCTGCCTGTGATGATCATGTTAAGCTCTTGAACAAAGTATCATTTAGCCAGTTCGTTTCAGATCTGCCAAAACAGTGGTTAAAATATGGAAAGCATGTAAAGAAATGTTCATTTTAAGTCTGGCCTTAAAGCTCTTGAATGTTGTAAGCAGTGGTTCTTTTGTGCACTGTTATTATTATTCCATTCCAGAACTAAAGGTTTCCTGTGTTCTGTTTATATGAGGAAAGTTGTCAGGGGGATGGTAGTTGCATCTTAGCATTTCTTCTGGTAGTTACCTACAGGAAGCACCAGTGGTGGGGAGAAGCTTATGCTTGGCAACTGCCTCGGTCATTGTTCTTTATGTATATTTTGGGACTTGCAAAACACTTGTCCCTTTCCTCCTCTCAAATTTCTGCATGTAACATTAGCTCATTTGGCTAGATTTCCCAGCCAAAATACAGGATACTGTGTGATCACTGCTCCTTTACAGGCAATCTGTTAATGTAAAGATTTAAAACATGGTGTTGACTGCTGTGTGTGTACACTCATCCACAACACATACGATGCTTTTTGCTTTCTTAGTTTGTACAGGTTTGTGAAGTTTTGTGGGCACAGAAATGAACAGCCTGATGTGGCATTAGTTACCCAAAGACATATTAGTTTCTGCGCACAGGTATGCATTGGCAGCTCTCTGTAGTCATCTTCTGTTGAAGGACTAACTTCCTGGGAAATCACATCCTCTTAGCTAGTATAGCTTTAGGACTAGCTGGTACCTAGTCCCTGGCCTTGTGTTCGCTCAGCTTATTAGAGTCATTCCTATCGATAGAACTTCTTGTTTGTTCTGTTTCATGAGAAATTTTTTTTGTCTGGGAGAAAGTCTTGAGTTTGGTAATGCCATAGTCTGCCAGTCACAAATCCACGTGGTGTCCTTGTGCTGGAGTTACTTAGGAAGACTGAAATACTTCTTATTCCCTCTGATATGGAAAACTACTCTGTTGGCTGTTTCTGAATATAGGTTATCTTACTTGGCAAAAATAGTGATACTTTTCTCCTGATATTGTATATTTTTCTTGTTGTATTCTCTTCAGGACACACAGGATGAAACAGCTGTACTTTGGCTAGATGAAATTCAGGATGGGATTCATAAAGCTAACAAGGACACAGAGGAGTCCCAGAGATGTAAGTTGTTATTGCATAGTATTACAATTAATCCCCACTACCAGCTAAATACTAGTTATTTAAGGAAAAGTTGGGGGCTAGAAATGTCATGTACATGTGGCAAAAAGAACCAACAGGCTTCTGGTGCAGGTGTGTTTTTTTGAGGAGAGAATGCCAGATTCTTCAAATACTAAATTTCTTCTATTGTGGGGGGATATGCATTTCTTTCCAGTTTTGCATGTGACCATTAGACCACGTTACCTTGTTGGACAAATCTCTGTTTGTCATCTGCGACTAATTGTGTATGCGTGGGGGTGCTTGGTTAGAAGTAAGAGTGTTCACATGCACTACCGAAATGGTGTTTTCTGGCGAGCATTACCTTTTCTTTGCATGAGGTACCTTGCTTCTCTTAGGTATTACCAGACAAACACTCACATGTTTTTCAGATACAGAGAGTACCACATGTCGGTGATACTCACCTTTGCTCCTTAATGCAGTTTGCAGGTGGACTGGTCCACCCATTGTTGCATCCCAGTCTTTATAACAATGTTGTTTCTGTCTGCAGAAACAATTAAGTAATTACTGCTCTGGTTGTTGAAAAGGCCTCTTTTGAGTTGTGCCTGGCTCTGCCAGAAGAAGCTGTGTTAACTAAAACAGACATCAGGGGAGACCTGTAACTATGTGTGTTGAAAAGTTCTGGTGGTAAATCAGCATCGTACTGGGACTCCAGGTGCACACATTACATGCTGTCAGATGCAGTTCCACAAATGGTTGGATATGCTGTACTGAAGAGGCCTCTATGTGCAAGTTCTCTAGCTGTTTTTTTAGTTATATTTCATGTTTATGTACACTTAAAATTTGCGTATTTTACATACAACCCAACTATAAGGGTGTGTTCGTATTGCCTTGTTCTGTTCTGCCATTCTGTGCTTGCTGTGAGCTACTGAGCCCCTGAGCTAACCTGTTTCCTCGTGTTATCCAAGTCTCCTTAGGAATTCTGGCCATTAATGAAGCAGTAGATCATGGTGACGTTAGTCAGACCCTGAGTGCCTTGCGTTCACCTGATGTTGGGCTGTATGGAGTCACTCCAGAATGTGCTGAGACATACCAGCAAGAATTATCAGAAGTCAAGAAAAGGGCAGCAGGTACACCTTAAGTAGCTAACTGTTAGTGAAATGAATGCAAGATTACTGTACATGGAATTGGAACCAGAGGTAAAAAAGGCCCTGGTTAAAAATCTTGTGTTGTAGATAGCAGTTGTGAAATAAGGGTTTTTGTTTTTTTTAAAAAGAGTGTGAATTGTATAATGTTCTCCACTTGCAGAATGTGTTGTGTTTAGGTAGCTCTCATATGAGGTCATTAGGGACTCAGAAACGTTCCTTTCCTTGCTTGGAGGAAGAAGAATTTGTAAAGTAAACTTCCTGGTTGTAACATCTATATGTGTGGAAGGTAAGACACTTGTCAGAGTTCCAGACTTCTAATTGCAGTTTCTGCTCTTAGGGGGCAATGGCAGTGACTGGGTGAAACACTGGGTGAGAGGAGGCTATCATTATTACCATAACCTGCGGACCAAAGATGGAGGATGGGATGAACCAGCAGAATTTGTCCAAAATGACACTCAGCTGTCACGGGAAGAGATACAGGTAGAGTAATGGATTAACACATGCTCTTTCTCTCAAAAGCTGATGTTCGTACCATTCCCACCCTTAATGTAGCTCTAAGATAGAATGCTTCAATGCCATGTTAACACACTTAGTAATTAATTTGATTTGCTAGGCATCATCAGATGGTGTGTGTCACAACTCCTAGTCCTCTTTCATAAAAATTATCCTGTCACTAAAAGAGTACAGGACCATGATGTCACTGTTTTTTAAAGACAACTTTGGAGCTTCTTGAAATCACAATGTGGAAACTGATGTAACATCCTTTTTCTTGTATTTCCATTTTCTTTTTCTGGCTCCTCTTCCTATCATAACATTAAATCAGAGCACCATATCTGGAGTCACTGCAGCATACAACCGAGAACAGTTGTGGCTTGCAAATGAGAGCCTGATTATGAAACTTCAGGCTTGCTGTCGAGGGTATCTTGTTCGCCAGGAATTCAACTCAAGAATTAATTTTTTGAAGAAGCAAGTCCCAGCAATCACTTGCATTCAGGTAGTGATACCCTTTAATTCTGTTTGGAATTTGTAACTGCAGTTGTTTTCTGTACACAAGCTTGTTAACAGTTTTTTTTCAATTCAGGTAGTTACAGCACACTGAAATGTGTGCAAATGCAATAGTTGCTTTGCACCCTAGTACCATTTTATTATTTCAGCAGTGTATGTCTGTTTCTGCCTAAGTAGCACATACTCTGCCTGTATATTTAACAAAACTTCCACACCCACTCCCAGTTCATTAAAATAACACACTCTCACTTTAAATGTAGTCCAACCCCTTGCCTGACTTCTCTTCCCAAGTGTGGATGGCAGTGGGTCCACTGGAAAGGCTTAAAATGTTACACCATTGTTCTCAGCAGCAGCTAACACGTGATCCTCATGTAGAACAGTTTCTGTCACCTTGACTGTTTCACTGTATTCTTGACCCCTAATTGTGCTTCAGAAGGCCCAGGTTCTTCATGGGGTAATTTCAAGTTTCTCATTATTACATTTGGAAAATAGTTAATGCTTCATACAGTGTATCTCTTGCTAAGACAAGCGTGCCTCCTTCATGTTTCATTTAGCCAAAAGGGCAGTTGGAAGCTGAGGAACACAAAGAAGCTCGGATTTGTAGTTACTTCGGTTCAATTTGAAAAGTAAAGTGAGTGTTCCTGTTGTGTTTTCAGTCTCAATGGCGTGGCTACAAGCAAAGGAAGGCATATCAAATCCGTTTGGATTACCTACGCGCACAAAAGGACCAAGTAGTAAAGGTAGTGCAGATTTTCCGATGACTGTTTTGGTGAGCCTTTGGGGTAGTGAACTTCATAGGTAAGGTTTCTATCTGAGTGTTTTGGTTACCCTTCAATAGATTCAGTCAATGACCAGGATGTATCAAGCCAGAAGACGTTACAGAGACCGTCTGCAGTATTTCAGAAACCATGTAAGAGACTATCTTGTTAAATTTATTTTGTACCTGACTTCAGTACTCTTTCCCGAATGATGTCAAGTGCTTTTTGTTTCTTAAATCCTAGATAAATGATGTTGTAAAAATTCAAGCCTTTATTCGAGCAAACAAAGCCCGAGAAGACTACAAAACCCTCAGTAAGTATTGCCAAGAGGATGAAACTGATGTGCCTCAAATCTCTGTTTGTGAGGGATAATAGATTTGTAGAAGAGATTCCCCACCTCTCTCTGCCTGTCTACATAGGAGAGATGCTCCAGCCCCCTGATCATCTTTGTAGCGCTCCTCTGGACTCAGTCCTGCAGCTCCACATCCTTCTTATGATGTTGGGGGCCCCAGAGCTGAATACAGTACTCCAGGTGGGGTCTCATTAGAGTGGAGGAGGAGAATCACCTGCCTTGACCTCTTGACCACACTGCTTTTGATGCAGCCCAGAATGCAGTTGGCTCTCGGTGCTGCAAGTGCACATTGCTGGGTCATGTCAAGCTTCTTGTCAACCAATATGATATCGGCTGTATGATTTACAACATCAAGACAGTTTTGAGGAGCAGTTGGGATGAAGTTGATAGGGCAGTGCAGGGAGTAGGTGGTTCTTGAGGCTGAAGGAGAAGTTGATTCTATTTTTTTTTTCCTGCTGGAAAATAGAATGGTAGCTTTGCAGTTAGCTCTGACAGTGTGGACCACCCTATGCTAATACTGACTTTGTTCTTGATTTAGTTCTCTTTACAGTTTTGTCAACACAGGAAAATCAAAATGTCTGAAGCTGTTTAGACATGATGGTACTAATTTGACTCTGAGTGCTCCTTGATGTGCTGTTTAAACATAGATAAAGCATACATTTACTTCTGTTTGCCATCCCCTAGTATAATCTATTTTCTTGCCTGCAGTTAATGCAGAAAATCCACCTATGGCTGTGGTTCGGAAATTTGTCCACTTGCTTGATCAGAGTGACCAAGATTTTCAGGAGGAGCTTGAGCTAATGAAACTGCGTGAAGAAGTTGTAACCTTGATCCGATCCAATCAGCAACTGGAAAATGACCTCAATCTAATGGACATCAAAATTGGTTTGCTAGTGAAAAACAAAATTACATTGCAGGTAAGAAATGTGTTGTTGGGAGACCAGCTACACATAGAATTTGAGCCTAGTGGTAGTTAAGAGAGCTCCTGGCCTCAGATGTTGGTTGCTCAGGCCCATTGGAAAACATTTCCCCTGACTTAGTTTTTACTCCCAGTATGTTCGTAGTTCATTCCACTAATTTAGGATGTATCCCTAGAAAGAAAACTGTAGGAGGAGAAGAAACAAGTCCTGAAGCTAAAAAAAGCAAGACTATCTTATCTAACAAATGCAACAGGTTTTGTATTGAAAAGCTTTGAGACTCTTTTTTGTTGCTCTTTCGTGGTTAAACAAGTCACATTCCACAAGCTTGCAGCCAGGGGAGTGATTTTGGAACCAGGAGACATGCTTGTACCTCTTGGTTGCTTGTTGGTTAAAGGAAGCTCCCTCTTTCTAAGCTTGGCTGGTGTGATTAATTTCCCCCACAAAAAAAAAAAAAAACAAAAAAAAAACCCAAAAAAAAACCCCAAAAAAACCAAAAAAAACCCCGAAAAAAAACCGCTCTTGCTGATACAGCATTGTCTTTTCTTCGAGCTGAAGTACTGGTGAGCTTTTCATGTGGTCCTGGATTCATTGCACTAGGCTTCTCTGAGTGCAAAATCTCAATTGGTGTAGTGAAATTTATCTTAGAAAGAAGCTGCAGTGGCTGGGCTGATGATTGCAGTGAAAAGTGCCATTGCTGTCAGAGTATGTGGAGGTAGTGAGCTAGCTGAATATGGAACAGTATTTCTAAACTGTAAGCCCAGTTTAAAAAAGGAAAACATTTCCAAGTATCTTCAGAATGCTACCAGCTCTGATCGTAATTGCTACCAAGAGTGACTAACCCTTCTAGGATTTCAGACAAATTCACAAAGGAACAAAGCAGAACATATACTTCCAGTTCGAGAAACTACTGCCACAGCAAACAATGCTTCACTTTAATAGCCCCAGGCATTCCTTGACCCTGCATTTCTGCATCCAAGAGAAGTTACTCTCAGATGCAACTGTTTCCTGGTATTTCTTGTTTGAAACGTCTCAGAGTGAAATCCGTACCTGTTCTTTCCTTCCAGGATGTTGTTTCTCACAGCAAAAAACTTACCAAGAAGAACAAGGAACAGCTCTCTGACATGATGATGCTGAACAAACAAAGGGGAGGTTTGAAAGCACTGAGCAAAGAAAAGAGAGAAAAGTTGGAAGCCTATCAGCATTTGTTTTACCTGCTTCAGGTAAGCAACTTCTTACACTGCTCCGTAAGCTTTTGTCATAGAAGCTTATATGCCTCAGCTCAGTCTTTGCTTGTGCGCTGTAGTTGTCATACAAGCACTAAGGTTGGAAAAGACCTTTAAAATCAAGTCCAGCCAGCAACTGTTTTGAGCCACCTTAGTTTTTAGCAACACCAGTGGGGACATGCACACTAAGTAATTTTTCTTGTTGTTGTAGACTAACCCAACCTACTTGGCCAAGCTGATTTTTCAGATGCCTCAAAACAAATCCACAAAATTCATGGATTCTGTCATCTTCACGCTGTATAACTATGCATCCAATCAAAGAGAGGAATACCTGTTGTTGCGACTTTTCCAAACAGCACTGCAGGAAGAGATCAAGTATGTGGTAGCATACGGCACATTCTTGCTGTTGAATCAGTTTTGGCAGTTCCTGAAAATGAGGCACATTTTCCTGTGAAGTGTAGTGCTTATAGGCAGATAGTGCTAATCTGTCCCTTCATTGTCCTTTTCCCATTTCATACCTATTAATGTAGTCTCTCAAAGAAGAATCAAGTATGTCCATAGGAGATGAAGGCTTTTCACTGCAATCAAGATTTCACTGCTCAACATGGCAGCTACGTCTGATCTGATGCTAAGTCATGCTAAAATTCAGTCTAATCTCAATTCTCCAGTGTCTGATTATAAATATGTCCAACAAACTGCAAACTCAGTCTTTAAGAGCCAGGAAGTGAGCTAAATCTAAGCTGCCTGCATTTCCAAAATCTAACGAGGAGTCTGAAATCTCTGTTGTTTGGCATTTCTGTTTCCTGTCAGTGTTAGAAACTTTGGCTGTCCTCACACATGTTGTGTTGGATTGGTTAGGTCTTAGGAGCTTTGTGTTACACGACTTCACGTGTGAGTTTGAGTTACATGACTTCACAATGCAGAGTGGCACAACTTGCTGTGAGGAAAAATATGCAATGAACTTTCTGAGGAGCTACCCTCAAGCATTTCTGGGAATGCTTTTTAAGCATGAAGATGATATATGCCCTGAAACAAATAACAACTTCTAAAAAACTTGTGTGTCTCCCCCCCTGCCCCAGCCCCAAAGTCATGCTGGGAACAGTAGTCCAGGGAAGCGTAGGCAGAGACAGAGTTTCGCATACGTCAAATTTCATATAGATTCTTTCTTCTTCAGATCAAAAGTAGACCAGATACACGAAATTGTGACTGGGAATCCTACTGTTATTAAGATGGTGGTAAGTTTCAATCGTGGTGCCCGTGGTCAGAATGCCCTGAGGCAGATCCTTGCACCAGTTGTGAAGGAAATCATTGATGACAAGTCACTTAATATCAAAACTGATCCTGTGGATATTTACAAGTCTTGGGTTAACCAGATGGAATCTCAAACTGGAGAGGCCAGGTATGGGACCTGTTAATACTGTGTTTTTCTAAACATTGCTTAGCTGCTTTGCGTTGCTCAGTTAGTCATTCAGAACCATCCTTGGCTCCACTGCATGCATCTGTCCAACTGATTGTCTCGTCAAGACAGTTTTCATATGAGAGTTCTGAAGTTCTTACTCTGGTTATGGTGGTGAGAGTATTGAACAGGAATGTCATTAAATGATGGAAGAAGAAATGGTATTTTGGTATTTTCCTGTGCTAACTTGATAGTTAGCTATGAGACGCCCTCTGGCCTAAAAGAATGTATTGTAAGAAAATGTATTTGGCAATTGCTTCCATGTCAGTCCCTGTTCATGTCACGTGTGGCCTGTGCAAACAGGTACTGTTCACAAGCACACAAAGCCGCTCTTGCTGGCAGAAAGCATCACATTACATTTAATTCTCCCTGGTCCTAACATCTTTCTGATTAATATCAGCCGCTGATGACAATTGTATTGAGTTACATGCTTTTGTGTCATTCTGGTTTCTTTTTCTTCAGGGGTTGTGATTTCCTAGAACTTGAGGATTCTGTTGTGTTATTGGGTTTTTTTATCGTACTTAAAAAAAAAAAAGAAAAAGCAAAAGCCATACAGATGAATGACTTCCTCCATATCTAAAGCAGTCATATACCTTTGCACACTTTATGCAAAAATTTGGATGTGTTAAAAATGGAAGTGAAGATGTGTGTTCAGATTCTTCTCTATACATGAGATTTAGGATACACCTTTATGAATTACCAGCTTCATCTGTCTGTGTTCACTGGAATACTGTGCAATAGTTTCAGCTGATTAAAAAAAGGATGACTATTCCTTCAGCAGCACGTTATATTGATTTTATGGATGCTGCTCTAGCTTCTGCTTGTTTTAAGTTTTCATGATCTTAATACTCAAATGCATAGCTTTCATTTTCACCAGTTTGCAGTCTGAAGTACCAGTATATGTTAAGGATGGTGCTTTTTTTGCCTGGTGTGCATGCTGTAAAAAAGATTCAATTCTGAGTTAGCTGGGTCTTTCTCTTGGTGGCCAGTGCAAGTGAAAGTAAAAGAAGTAAAAGCAAAAGAATTTTGGTTCTGACAGTGCCAAATAGGTTAATTAAAGGCAGTGCATAGTTTTTGGCAGCAGAGTGAATATAAGCATGTTTCTGTGTCAGGCTGTACGTTCTTGAAGTGTACTAGCCTGAATAATACTCTCCTTTTTATGTCTGACTTTTTCAAATAGCAAACTGCCGTATGATGTTACGCCTGAGCAAGCCCTAAGTCATGAAGAGGTGAGGACACGCCTGGATGCCTCAATCAGAAACATGAGGACAGTGACAGACAAGTTCCTGTCTGCCATTATTAGTTCAGTGGACAAAATCCCGTGAGTCTGATGCACCTGTGTTATGCCTGAGAAGCTGTTGGTGTCCTCATGCTTGGCAGCAGTCTTATTTGACCTTTTCTTTCTCTCAGGTATGGAATGCGTTTCATTGCCAAGGTCCTAAAAGACTCCCTGCACGAGAAGTTTCCTGATGCTGGTGAGGATGAGCTTCTGAAGGTGAGGATCTATATACCTTTGTGAATAATTGTCAGCTGAATTGGCTGTGGCAAGCACATCTCATTCTTCTCTCTTGTTCGGTGTGTGTGGAGAGGAGCACATGTAAACTTATTAATTTACCTCTACAGATAGAAAATATTTCACATCAGGCTATTGATGTTAGCTTCATACACATCGCTTGACATGTAATACATTGTTTAGAAGGAAGTATCCTGATGCTTCTGTTGTCTTTTAGTATCTTGGGCATTTGGACCTTTAGGTTTCTTGACCTGGGGTTTGCTGTTGCTCCCAGAAAGTAAACCTTGGGTTAACTAGTATGATCACTGCCTGCTGCTCCTTCCTTAAAGAGACAAGTTAAAAAGTCTGTATGCCAAATTCTGATATTCCTAATGCCCCGTCTATAACACACTGGGATATTTTGGCAGCAATATGTATAATTGCTTCCTGTGATGCCTTGTCAGTTTTGCATTTTGCATTTCAGTTGGTTTGGCGAACTAAAAGGATCCTAATATTAGGTGTTCTTGGATGACTACAGCGTTGGGGTATTCATTGAAATTTCTTTGGTTTTGTGGCTTCTGGTAAATTCTGAATTTATGCCGATGAATGCTTTACTTTTTAATACAATATACTTTGGTTATTAGAATACTTGACAACGTCTCTTTAAGCTTCTCTGCCTCTGCTTCATTACAAAATAATTACCAATCTGAATGCTGTTTTCTTCTCTCTTCTAGTTCTGTGCTTTCCCATTCTGAGACATCGGTTCTTTCTATGCAGGTGAATTAATTTCTTCCATCTGTAAATTTAGGTGGAAAACCGCAGGTTTTCTTAATCCTCATGGAAACAATGTAACTGTCCACATGAAAGTCAAAACTGCAGTTGCGTGCAGTACCTACCTGTAGATTTTGTTTAGCAACCGAAGATACCCATATAATATACTGTTCTTTTTGCCCCGCAAGTTCAAATGTCATGGATTCAATTTCTTTTATGGATTTTTTTTCTTTTTTTTCTTTTTACTGGCAGTAGTTAGGCTGTTACTGGTCAGCAGACTGTTAACATCCCATGCCATTATTTGTGAGAGTACAGCAGAGGCTTGCATAAAACACTTGTCCAAACATGGCCTTACTGAAACCAGTTATTAATTTCTGGGACTTAGCAATCGCTAGTTTTTTTTCTCGGTGTTTTCAACTGTTTGTTCAGACCCCAGTCTCTTCCATGCATTTAAGTCACATGAAAAGCAGGTGAAGCCAAGATTCAGTGACCTGGCCTTCTGCAAATGAGCATGTGGTGAGAGCATGTGGCTTTAAATCAGCATGGTTGGTTAATACCTTTCATTGCTAGAATTACTTTCGGCAAAATATTCAGTACAGGGTAGAGAAATGTTGTGAGCATATGGATAATGTGATAATCTATATTTGTAGTTCTTTGAAATGTACTGCTGCTCACATTTGACTAGGTAAATTGGATTTTTGAAGCATCCAATGCCATTTGTTTTCTGTACTTCTCATTTTCTTATTTCTGGATTAAATGGTTTCTCACTAACTAGGGGTCTGTGCCTGAATACGTCGATGGCTTACAGAAGAAGGCTTTTATTCTGAAAGAGAGAAGGGCTTTGGACAAGAAATGGAAAATAATTTCCTCAATTTAACTTCTTGTGCCATTCTTCCTCCCTATTTTTGCTTTGTCAGAGATGGCAGCCAGTGCTTTATGCTTCTTTAGAAATTGGCTTTTGTTCCATACTGAAACTTGATTATCCGATTCCTCTATACCATGGTCATTCTACCGTCTATTAGGCTACTTAGTTGCATTTAATTCTTCTGGCAGACTGTCTCATGCTCATATCGGTAGTTCATTGGTAACTTGTAGTATCTCCTATCCATACATTTTTGTAAGTTGGAGTTCTAAATCTTTACGCATAGGAATACTTGCTGCTGTATTGTCCTGTGACTGGTAGTGCTCAGGCTTTCCTCTGTGTTGACCTCCCTATTGCATCTTTATGATACTGTTTTGGTTTTTTTTAACACTCTAGATCTTTTGGGATGGTATGTACATATATATATACATATATATATACAGCAGAACCTTTGTGTTGGAAAGAGGCTTGCAATGAAATAATCTATTGAAACACAGAGTAGTTTCAATAAAATTTGGTTGTGTCCTGTACTGTTTTTTGTTACATTTCTTCTCTCTTTTCCAGATTGTTGGCAACTTACTCTACTATCGTTACATGAATCCAGCCATTGTTGCACCAGATGCATTTGACATCATCGACCTTTCAGCTGGAGGTCAGCTGACGACAGATCAGCGCAGGAACCTCGGTTCCATTGCAAAGATGTTACAGCATGCTGCATCCAATAAGATGTTCATGGGAGACAATGCTCATCTAAGCATCATTAATGAATACCTGTTGCAGTCATACCAGAAATTCAGGTAGAAGACCGTAGCTAATTAAGCTGGGAAGTTTGTCAGAGGGTAACGTTGCCAGTAAAAAGGGAAAACGGTAAATTTAGAATGTGGAAAATTCTGTCTCTGTCCAATATGCAGTCTGTTTAAAATAAAAGAGATTTCACTGCAGACTGCCACAAGCATCAGTGGCAATGGCAGATAAAATGTGTACCTGGAATTTATGAGCAATGCATTGTATGTTCATTGCAAAGTTTGCGATTGCAAAGTCAGGAGTTTCAGGTGTCCGGAATAAAGGTTGCTTTTGCACGTACTTATTACAGTACTCTGGACGTGGACAACCAGAACAGACATATGTTCTTCTGTCCTGTGTGAATCCTGGTTCCACATGAGAATCTAGTGGTGATCAGGAATAAAGCAGGTTGTCATTTAGCTATTCATGTAGTTGAAGTAAGCTTTTGTTCAAGAACTGTTATATCTCCTGTGTTTTGGAAAAAGGGTAACCAGAGGTAGTTGGAGGGCAAAGGACGATAACGTAGTGGGGGCAGGAGAACGAGGTCACTGAAGCCAGTTCTGTCATTTCTGAAAATGAGGAAATGTCAACATGGCCAGTATCAATGATTGAATTTACTAGGTGGCTTCTGATGTTTTAAGCTAAAGCTGCAAACTGCAGTATGCCATAGTGTACCATAGTTTGAAGAGGAGAGTCTGTGCTTGAAATTGTCATGGGGAGGTAATACTCTTGACATATCACTTGACTCTTAGAGTCATACTGAGTGTTCTCTCCTTCTTTGTTCTGAAGACGTTTTTTTCAGGCTGCCTGTGAGGTTCCCGAATTGCAGGATAAATTTAATATTGATGAATATTCAGACTTGGTGACTCTCACTAAACCAGTAATTTACATTTCTATCGGTGAAATCATCAATACACACACTGTAAGTATACCTTAGTCACAGTTGCTCCTTATAAGCAGTGTTTGTGAAGAAAATGCTGCTTCTGTCTGAAACGCAAAGGTACCAAATACAAAGCTGAAAGTTGTCACGATTGTAGTTTGTGAGAGCTTGTTGATTTATAGAATCTAGTAATTTAGGTATGGCTTCACTAAGCTTCTTTGGAAAGCATTTGAGTATGTGATATTGACGCAGCTCTGAATATTGACATTGCTGCTTTGGACTTCAGTGATGTTTTTTCTAAAAATACCAGCCTAAAATAATGAAATTCTACTGTCTAGAAAAGGATGTATTGTTAAAATTTTTTTTTTTTTTTTTCATCTAGTTGCTCTTAGACCATCAAGATGCAATTGCTCCTGAGCACAACGATCCAATTCACGAGCTGCTGGATGATCTCGGAGAGGTTCCTACAATTGAGTCCTTAATAGGTGGTCTAGTTTGTTCTGCTAAAGCAATATGTGATATTACCTGAAATGACTTAAAGTGCAGTAAAGAAACAGTAAGAAATCATCACAGGTCCTTCAGGAGGACGTGCTTTAAAAAGCAGCAGCAGATTCATTGCAGTATATTTTCTCTGCATAATTTACTGCCCTGAAAAAAAACGGGATTCTTTCTCTTCTCCCCACCCATCTCACCTCATCCCACTCTAGCAGTTTCTGGAAGACAGATGGATATTGACATATTGTCTTTGTTCCATTACAATGGAGATATTTCTCTGTGCTTGTGTCCCTGTTCCAGCTTGTTTGCAAAGATCTGTCCTCCTTACTGGAGATCTGTAGGTGTTCCTTTCAGAGTGCAGTAATAAGTGTTTTAAATAGCATGCGTTCCTTTAAGAGTCTTTGGCATGCTGACAGGTAACATTTTTCCCCTCCTTTAGAGTTATTTTCCAGAAGGAAAATAGAATTTTATCTTCTTCTGGTTGGGGGAAGAAGGAATTAACACTACGAATCTGTGAAACTGTTCTGGAAACCTGAGACACAGTTTACTGCTTCAGGATATAACACACACTGGAAAGATGCACAAGTTTTTCTCCTTCATTGGTTTCTATGTTGCAGTTATTCAAAGTTTCTAGTCTAGCAGAGGGGAGGGAGGCAAACGAGGCACAGTTTTTGGAGAGGATGCTCTGACAACACTTACCTTGAAGTTGCTTGATGAAAAAGGTTGGAACCTTCTAAAGGAGTGATTGCAAGCACATTTTCTTCCAAGTGCTGGCAAAGAACTGTAAGAAGCATTATCTGAACAAGCATAGGCCATTGGTGTAGCTGGAACTTGCCATTCTTCCCTACTTCATTTCTCCCGTGTGCATTGTTTCACTGTGGCTCATATGTCAGATGTTTCTGCAGCCCTTTAAAAAATGGGGGGAAAGGTACCAACAATTGTTCTGGTGAAAGTTCATATGCAATTACAGCAAGAAAATTTATTTTTTATGGGATGATGACGAGCTCAGTTGCTAACAAGGGCTTTGCTCTTAGCTTGAAACATGCGTTTTGATGAGGACATGGACAGGCATCATATTTTTGTTTCTAAAGTACTTTTGGCAGTTCAGCCACTCTTCTCAGTGAGAAACTGAGATACAGTGTGAAATACATGTAAATCTTTAAGGCATGCAAAGTGGTGATTTTGTGGTGCTTTTCTGGCCAGTGCATTCTCTCAGATTTGTTATGAAAATATCTGTAATATATTCAAGATGATGTCTTTAAAAGTTGGCTTGGGTTTTGAAGTGTCCTTTTGACAATATAGGAAACAGTCTAGTTTTATTCTCTGTGTGTTATGTGGGGGAAAATTACAAAGTCTTAACAGTCATGAAGGTAAAGAATGTGATTTAATCTATAAACTCTCTCTGCTTGGCAGGGGAAGGTTCTGGCAATGTTAATGACCCCAACAGAGAAATGCTAGCAAAGACTGAGGTTTCTCTCACACTCACTAATAAATTTGACGTTCCTGGTGATGAGAATGCAGAGATGGATGCAAGGACAATTCTGTTGAAGTAAGTAGGTGGTAACTACCTGGTATGTTACTCAAAAGAAGGAGCAACTGGAACTTTACTGGTTAATCAGCATGTGAAAAATGAGAGAATTGAGGCATAATTTAAGGAAGTGGGGGGGGGGGGGGGGCTGTTACTCCAGATACACTGAGATTGTAACCATGCCCTTTTCCATGCTGTGGCATGACTTTTAATTGATGAAGACGAATAGCCTTTTTGAGAAGCATAGGTCTTATTACCCTAATGGAAAGAGAGCAGTGGACTGTCAGGGATTTTATTATTGCCAGAATCTTTATTCTGGAAAACTTTTAACTGACAGTGACTCTTGGCTAGTTTAAGCAAATTCCTATTGCTGAGATGTACAGAGCAGTGATCTGACATTCAAATGCATGTTTACCTCCTCTGATGCATTCTAGATAGTTTAATTTAAAAATCTTTGGTCAGCATGTACTTGGCCTCACAGACAAGTGATCTCCCACAAGAAGATTTTGTGTCCAAAAATAGCTTTAACCGGACCTCTTAAAAAGATACATCAGTATTTTCCTACCCACTAGACAAAGGTGACATTGATTTCAAAAGTAAGGATTTACTAGCTGCACTCGTAGTCATTTAAGTTGTGGATGATGAGGAAGGCGAGTATGTGATGCACTTTGTGTGATTCCAAAAATAATTCCAGCTGGACTGCAGAGATACTATTTGGTTTCATTGTCTGGCTTAAAGACAGAAGTGCTTCAGAGTACACACCAACAAATCTCAGCTCAAATCAAGGAAATGGTCCTATCTATCGCCAGGCTGGAGTTGAGATCTACCTTGTCCCCCATCCACATAAGAAAATAATCCTTCAGAGTTTTTTGATACCTCTTATAGATCACTGAAACATGCTTATGGATGGGTAATATTATAGAGCTTTTCTGGTTGCACAAGTGGGCTGTGGCTGCTACCTGCTTTTGTCTTTCACCTTGAATGCAGTTTCTGTGGTCCACGTGGCAGTACTGCAGCTACCTTCTAATTTATGGGGTAGCTGCCTTGCTGTTTGAAGGAGTTTTGCAGAGCAAATTGTGCATATTACAGAGAGGAACCTTTCGAGAAACCGGTTTCCAGTAATGCACTGTCCAAAACGTAAAGTGCTTCTCAGGGTTCTGGTCTGATTTAGCTTATGACTACCTGAATGCTCATCCAGTAATAATCTGACTTCAAATAAATCAGTAACAGTGACATTGTTGCAGAACAGAAAAGTATTAAAGATCTTTGTGTTTAAAATTTTTTCTCCTATTCTCCTTGATCTCTTTGCAGCACAAAACGTTTAATTGTTGATGTAATCCGCTTCCAGCCAGGGGAGACACTGACTGAAATTTTGGAAACTTCAGCTACCTCAGAGCAAGTATGATGCTCTTTGTGCTAGTTTTAGACTTGGAAATCATCGTCTATCTAGATATATGTGGTATATCCGTTTAGGTATTGCAGTGAAGCTGTCTCCACCAGTGCTGGAGTAGGGTGTTACGATAATCAGGAGGGTGTACAGTGGAAGTAAATTGTACGTGTGAATCTTTCCCCTGCAGCAGTTGCTAGAAATTGTTTATGTAGAAGACCACTTTAGATGATAGGTAGGCTTCTGGTTCCCACGTGTAGAATATGTTCATCAAAATGTCTTTAGTCGAGTCAGTATGGGAATTGCCAAGCAAAACTCTTTATCCTGTGTTATGCCAGAGATCAGACAATCTGTTTCTGCTTCTTTTTGTCTCATTGCAATTGATCTGCTTATGAACTTGCAGGTTTTTGTTTTCTTCTAGGAAGCAGAGCATCAGAGAGCTATGCAGAAACGGGCCATTCGTGATGCTAAAACTCCTGATAAGATGAAAAAATCTGTCTCTGTAAAAGAAGATGGCAACTTGAATCTCCAAGAAAAAAAAGAAAAAATCAAGGCAGGACTTAAGAAGTTGACAGAACTGGGGCCAGTGAATGCCAAAAATAAATACCAGGAACTAATCAATGACATTGCGAAGGTATACCATATCACTTGGTGGTTTCCTAGTAATCATAGTGGAGTTTTCCCAGTTTGCAGGTTTCTCAAACTGGCATGAGTTTTCAGATGGAAAAGGATTATTAGTAGCTAATTTATAGAGAAAAATCATACCTTTTGTTGCAGCATTTCCACCACCTGGCATGTGGAAAGTCCTTTATTTTTATACTACGCTTCTATTCTGTCAAATGACTGTGTTGCCAGGATCTCAGGTACTTTAAGAAAAAACTTAATAGCTTGGAAGGGAGGTCCTGATGTGTAATGTGTTTTTCTGCTCCATTTCACTCATTCAAGTAGTGCCTCTACAAGCTTATTCACACAAAGATGTTTTGTGCATAACTCTAGGACATCCTAATTGTTATTTTGATTTGATTTAAATGTGCCTGTTAAAGAATCCCTAAACAATAAAAAACTATGGCTATGAAAAGCTTAGAAAAGAGATCCAGTACTGTTGTATATTGCTACAGTGACAATATATTTTATATCGTATTGTTTACTGAAAAATATTTGGGAAATGTTACGTAAGTAAACCAACTAAATGATCACCTTTAAGAATCTGATACAAATTAATTGTACTGTAGATAATATGTGTCACAAAAAGTAGCAGTCAATGAATGTAGTGTTTTCTTGTTGAGATATTAAGGCAAGTGATGCTTACAGGCTGACTAGAAAAGAAAAATTATGAAGTCTGCGTGCTGCTGTGGATGTAGCACTCGATTTGTAACATACTTTTCAGTGCTAGCAAAATTGCTGCTTTTATATCATGGGCTTTCAGTGCCCAGTCTAGTCATTGCAGCTAGAACAGAACTGAAGTTTGAGAAAGCCACAGAAGGTGCAACTTGTAGAGTTGGTTAGTTCTACAAATAGTCATCACAGAGAAAAAGCTGTGACACTTAAACTGGGGCAGGTGCAAATGAGTGCTCAAGCCTTGCATGAAGCAAGACTAAGCAAAATCAAATTGTGTGTTTCAAATACTCAGTGGCTCTGGGACTGAGCACCTGGAGAGCTCAAATGACTGTTAAGTCTCTGCCTGTCTTTCTCTGTGCTGTAGGATATCAGAAATCAGCGTAGATACCGTCAGAGAAGAAAGGCGGAGCTAGTGAAACTGCAGCAGACATACAGTGCCTTGAACTCCAAAGCTACTTTTTATGGAGAACAAGTAGATTATTACAAAAGTTACATAAAGACCTGCTTGGATAACTTGGCCAGCAAGGGCAAGTAAGTATCTTGGAACCGTAGAATTATAGAATGGTTTGGTTTTGAGGGGACCTTTACAGATCATCTGCTTCCCACCGCCTTGCCATGGGCAGGGACACCTTACACTAAACGAGGTTGCTCCAAGCCCCATGCAGCCTGGGCCGGAACAATTCTAGGATGGGGTAGCCACAGCTTCCCAGGGCAAATTGTCCTGGGGCCTCACCACCCTAACAGGGAAGCTGTAGACTGCAATTCTTTGAGTGCAACCATCCGGTTGATCCTTATCCATCAAGCGGGCCATCTATCAAATCCCTGTTTCTTCAGTTTAGATGCAAGGATGTTGGGTGGAACGTTGTTGAATGCATTTCCACAAATACAGGTAGATGATTATTGTCAGTCAGAAATGCTCATCCGCAAATGGTGTATTAACCCCATTGTAGCAGATCACTAAATGGTCCAGGCACCTGAGTTGAAGGTATATTGGCTGTCAACAATTACCTCCTTGTTTTCAATGCATCTTAGCACAGTTTCCAGGATGACCATGCCAGTCACTGGTCTCACAGAGGTGAGACAGATTCCGTCTTCCTTATTTTCCTTCTCCTGTTGGTAGGAGTTTCACTGGACTGCCACATTTTATCATATATGATGGATAGTGGCTTAGCCACTTCCTCCGCCGGTTCCCTGAGGACCCATCTCATCAGACACATCTCATCAGGGTCCATGGACTTCCACACCTTCAGTTTCCTTAGATGGTCTTGAACCCGATGACCTGCAGTGGGTGGTTCTGTGGCCCTAGAGGTGCTTCTTACAAAAAAGCATGTGTTGCCAAGAAGAACCCTAATGCTATCTGCTCTAAGCTCCTTGTCCAAGTTCTTTCCCACAGCAGTAATTTTAGCAAAAGGGTCTCAGCAGTAGTAAGAAAATACAGGGTGAGGTCCTCGCCGTGAATGGTGTCAAAAAGACAATCCTGAATGACTTTTTGGTCCCTTTGGGAGAAGAGAGGTACAGAGAGTCCAGTGGTACGAAGCTTGTTGTTGACATGGGCACACTTGCTGCTCAGTCAGTCTGTCCTGTCATCCTTCTTAGGAGCAGAGAATGAAAATAACATAGTTACCTGCAAGGAAACCCTTGATCACAAATTGTCCTCATTTTTATGCCAAATGAAGCCAGCCGCTATAGTGCTAGACAAATCAGATTTTCTGGGGGGGGGGGGAAAGAAGTTGTTGTCTTCTCCAGTCAGATGTGAGAATGTGAACCCATTTTGTTTGCAGAAGGAAAATACAAGCAAGTTTTTGAGTAGTCTCAGCTTTCTCCATGTCAGTTGTCATTAGCCCCCATTTTGCCTAATGAGAGATGGTATTGCTTTTTATGACGTACCATATGCTTCTGTTTTGGGTGGGATTTTTTTGGTTTTGTTTTTTGGTTGGTTTTTTGTTTGCTTTGGTTTATTATTATCATTACTAGCATTATTATTATTAGCCTGCTTAAATGTTACTGGTAAATAGTAGAAAATTAAACATCTGATCTGGGCTACAAGTGCTTTGTAGGTAAACTGACTAGTAGAAGTACATCATTATCTATCATTAGTTATAGTTCATTAGCTGTACTGATTCTATCCCCTCTTTCAAATAGGATTGAAAATTTAACTGCTCAAAATGCCTTTACCTGTGACTTTCTAATTTGTTTGGTTTGTCTTTTTTCCCCAGAGTCTCCAAGAAACCTCGAGAGATGAAAGGCAAAAACAGTAAAAAGATTTCTCTGAAATACACAGCAGCTCGACTTCATGAGAAGGGAGTGCTTTTAGAGATTGAGGACCTGCAAGGTAACCAGTGAGTATCTACTTCAAACTCTTTAGAGCTAAATAACCTTTTTGGAGGAAAAGGAAAATAGGTATGCTGAATTCTTGTCTTTTTCTTAGAACTAGTCTAGGTGCTGATAGTTGAGGACCAGAAATTGTGAGATCTATTTGAGGCTGTCTCACATTATCTTGCAATTTTGTTATTGGAATTTTAGTGTTGTTGGTAGACTTAGTTATTAAAGGTGAGAAAGTTGCTTTGATGACCTAGGCTGGCATCCGTAGGGCCAAGACACCTTGCATAGTGATCACTCTTCAGTTCTCTTTTTCTGGTTGGAGCAAAGCAATTCTTTGAGATGTGTAATGTGATTTAAACATGACATCCTCTTTCTCCCAGCCCCTTCTCTGTCACCCCCACAGTTATGGAAGGGTACCTCCTTGGGTGAATTTTTATTATGGGTAATAGCTTTCATTGTTGAAAAACCAGCTTTATGCTAGCTTAAGTTTCTCCAGCAGTAGTTTGCTAGCCTTGAGAAGCTGGCATGTCTTGTGTCAAATATAGAGGAGCTGGCTATTACTAGAATTTTTTCAACTTTGAGTCATACTTTGTACTCAGTGCACTAAATGAGGCATGAATGTGCAGCACTAAAGTAGACTGCTTAGATTGTACAAGCTAAATTAAATTACCCTGTTTCCTGCTATGCTTGTATGAAGATGTGATTTACGGGACGTAAAATCTGTTAGGCTTCCGTTCATTGTTCTACTGAGTCTAGTTGGCTTGTACGGACTCATTTCAAATGGGGATAATAAAATAAAGAGTTAAGAAGACAATTCTTAGAAATTTATCTTCAAGTTTCACCTCATCTATTCCCTCCCTGGGATGTTTCATTTCTCCATTTCATAGGTTTAAAAACGTGATTTTTGAAATCAGTCCAACAGAAGAAGTAGGAGATTTTGAGGTTAAAGCAAAATTCATGGGTGTACAGATGGAAACCTTTATGTTACATTATCAGGTAAGAACTGTCCTATTTAATAGTGTAATGTAAGTTCCCCTGCCAGTCTCTTCATCAAGATAGCAGTGGCATGTTTTTTGCCTAAACAGTCTGAAAAATGCTCTCAGAATGACCCGTTTGTTGCAGACGAAATAGATGCAACACGTACATGGGATCCAAACTGCTTTTTGTTTCTTTGCTAATGAAAGCCTGATGTCGGTCTGTGTTCTTCATTATGTGTACGCATACGCACTCAAAACAAACACTTGTGTTTTCAACAATTTCCTGCTACAGCAGACAGCTTGGGAGTCTGTGGCAGCAGTCACCTGGGCTTGTGTGTCATTGTGTATTCGTATTCTTTCTGCTACCGTATACTTACCTGTTTGTTTCCAGTTCTTAGGTGACCTCCTTAGGTTTCAGCCCTTACTTAGGCCACCAGAACAGGCGTGGTGACTGACCTTTTCCCAAACGGTTCCCTGTTCTTTTTCTCATGCGAGTATTTTCACACCTGGTGTCTCTGTACCTTTCTTCCCCCACCCCCTGTCCATCTTGGTCTTCGTTAGGTTTGTTAGTTGTGGAAGCCTCAGGCCTTTTGAAACAGATTGCGTGTAGGAGCAACCTTGCATTGCAGTTAGTCCACGCTAACTTGGCTGCTGGGATGGACAGCTGCTTCACACCTTTTGGTTGCTTTGAGGACTCCCCATGTATGTTCCGGTCCTAATCCATCAGAGCTGGTCATGAACTTGTTGGTTCGTGGGCCTACCCAAGGTCACTCGCTTCTCAGGCACATGGTATACTATACCACTATGCCTTTGTAGCAGTGCTTTGCAGATAAAGCAGATGTTGTCAGAGGACAGCAACAAGGGATACAACATCACACACATCCACCCACATGCCTACATCTACCCACCGTGTTACCTGCAGGAGTGGGATTGCGGAAAGAATTTAATCGGTGAGATAAAATCAGTGCTGGTGTATTGCTGACAAAGCAAAGTATAACTAGAAATAGTGCCTACGTAAACGCCTGAGAGATTGAATCAACATCGTATGCATAGTGACTGAGATACCATTTCTTTCTGTGCCATAGATTGAAGTGCTGTAAGCAGCTTCCCTGAGATCTGTGGCAGCTAAAGCTTGCAGAAAGGGAAAATGTGGAATATTGTAATGTTTCATGAGTACATGATAGAATTATGCATATAGGAACCTAAATGTTACAACAACTTTATGGCTACTGTGCGAATGGCAAGGCTGGAGATGGCTAGATCTGAAATTTGGCTTACTTAGAATGGCCTTCTATTTCTCCTCTCTTTTGTAATTTTTTTTAAACCCACGGCTTAAAATAATTAAGATCTTAAATGCCTTAGAATTACTATTTTTTGCACAATAGAAGTGGCGCTTTAATAAGTCTCTCGCTTTTCTATCTTATGCCATAAGATATCAACAATTGTTTGTTGATATTCCTTAAGATCTACTGTACTACAGGGTCTTTTATATTCTCTGTCAGCTCTTGAGGATTCCTCACTCATTAAGATACTCTCTTTGGCAGGATCTCTTGCAGCTGCAGTATGAAGGTGTTGCTGTCATGAAGTTGTTTGACAGAGCAAAAGTGAACGTCAATCTTCTGATCTTTCTTCTGAATAAGAAATTTTATGGGAAGTAACCGACCTCTGCCAGCAAGTCTGTGAAAGGGGAGGTGGATAGAAACCTGCATGTACAACTTCTAATAATGTAGTGATGTATCATATATTCCCACCGTGTACTGATTGTATCGAATGTATCATGAAGGAGGACTAAGAACCTCTTGGGAATTGACAACCCTGACTGAGTCTGCAGGGAGTTTCTTGTTTATTTATAATCGTCAACTTTGAAGATCCCCTTTAAAGAGGTTATTTTAGAATGTATTTTTACATGAGTTTGGGAATTAAACTAGTATTAGAGTATATTTACACCATCTGAATGCTTAATTTGCTTAACCGTGTGCTTTGTGAGGCTTGAATTCTTGTTGCCTGTGCAAAGAGAAAGCTGGCAGTATATAGAGGTCTGTTAGCCTCTTCCTGAGAGCCAAAAAAGGATTGCAAGTGGTATTTGGACTCCAGTTATTCTCAAGCAGTCATGACCAATAGAAAACCTGGTCAAGGTCCAGGTTACTCATTTGTTCGCAAGTTTGCATTGGTAGAGGTGGCAGCAGTCAGTTGCCAATATTAGAACTACTGCTGTCAGGGTAATCAGTAAGCATAATAAATAGTTACTGAGCTATTGGTGATTATGTACTTCAGCCACATATAGCAGCTTTAGTGTCTCATTTTTCTTGATTTGCTTCTGTTTATCACACTGTAGTAATTTACAGGTGCCCCCTTCAATGGAGGGACCGTGGAATGTATTTACTAGGGCTTATAGATAAAAATATTTTTGTGGAAGGGGAGGATAGCTGAAACAATGTCTTGTGACATGTTAACTTTTAATGTTGCTTGCAAAGCATTTGAAATGTAAAATCCACCTTTTTTTTTTTCCAGTTTAGAGCAATGTTCTATATATCTGTGTCTGATGCAATAAATGTTTTCTTCCTTGGACATGTCTTTAGGTAGAGCCTATCTCAAATAGATTAGCTTTTAAAAAGTTAATTTTTTCTAGCTACACTCAAATTCCTGTATCTTTTATTATTTCATGGGGGCTTTGTCTGTGCTTTTTCACAGTGGTGGTTGTGCAGGCTATTCTGCTATATCCAATAAAAATGCAGAGACTTTTAAAAAATAGAATTGACCTTTAAATTCATTTGCTTCAGCTGTTCCCCCAGTTTTTTCCTTCACGTTTTTTTAAAGGGACATATCTCCTGCAAATTTCAAGTTGTCCTGCTTGTTCAGGTTACTGTTCAGAGTTTAAATGAACTTTTTGATCTACAGCGAGGCAAGTTCTTTCTTTATATCGTTTTCCCTCATGAAAGACACTCCTAGTATTTGGAATGTCTGTGTCACTGAATATAATTTTTCTGCAGTTCTCTTGGAAGGAAATATGTAAACTTGCTGGCGTTTAGACTGTATTTAACCATACTCTGGTGCTGGTGTATGTGTGGTCCAACCTGATAACAAAAACTGCTTACTGAGCTCAAGAAAGACGGAGCACATCAACCATTTAGCTTTCATTTAGTTCCATCAGGGAGTTTGTGGCCGTACCAAGAGACAGATGGTAATTAATGAGTCCCAGGCTGAGCTGTGACATTAACCAGTTCTGTTCATGGTTTATTGACACATTCATCAGCCAAACTCTCTGAGTAAAGTCCTGGGGTTTGTTCCTGTTTTTCTTTCAGCCTTATGTCAAACTTTCCACCCCTTCTCTCTGTCCAGTGTGTCTTTTGTTTTCCTTTCTTGTCCTGTGTGCTCCCCCTTCCATTCCCTTTCACTGCTTTACTCTCTCTTGTTCTTGTTTTTCTTCCAATAAATAAATACTCATTTATAAACCATTTATTTAATAAATATCACTCAATCCGTCTCCTCTACTTTTTGTCTCTGTCTCCCTCCCTGCCCACATCTTTATTTCTCCTCCTTTCTTCCTCTCCTTTTTCCTTTGTCCTGCACCATGCATGTATTTCTTTGTCCTTCTCACTGTCCTTTAGCCTGTACCTGTCTGCACCTGCTGCCCAGTCCTCCTCCCTCATTGTACCCTTCTCTTGGTAAGCCTCTTTCCTGCTGGCCGTGCCTCTCTTTCTCCATCCCTGTGCTGGGCCTTGCCCGTCTTCCCCCCCACCTGCACGTGCCATAGTAATTTCCTCTCTCAGTCCGTGTTTCCCTTTTTGTCTCTTTGTTTCCCTTGTGTCCCTCTGTCCTTGCTGTGTGTTTGGCATTCTGTTTTTTTCTCTGTCCTCCTCCATGCCTCACTCGTACTCCTTTTTGTGTGGCTCTGTGGTGCTCCCCGTGCCATTGTTCTTCATGGAATCCATATGTCCCATTCGCTGTCCCTGTTTTATTTTATTCCCTCTCTGTCATGCTACCCATCCCAGGAGTTTTTTGTTTGGATTTTTTGTCAATTTCATCCTGCACCCCATTCTTCCTTTTCTTCCTGTGTCCTCTCTGCTGTCACTCCCTGTTTCTGCCTCTCGCCTCTGACAGCGAGACTGCCCTAATTTCTTGGTGGAGCAGTCCCTTTCTGTCTGGGCTGCTGTCCAGGCAGTTGGACTCATTCTGTGCCTTCTTTGGGGGTCAGGAAAAGGGGGTGAAGGCTCTGATGTTATTTGGGGCACCCCAAGGTCCCTAGGAGAAGGAGGCACACTGCGGTGGGGGAGTGTTGCTATAGGACACGAGAAAGCACAACGCGAGCTACTTGCTACTTTGCAAGGTAAAAGAGAAACTTCATTTTCTGACTCCAACTTTTATACTTTTCCAAAGGTGACAGTGGATTGGAGAGTGAATGGGCCACCTCTCCAAAGACATTGGACAAACTACTAGTACATCAAGTCTCTCTACCTCCATGAAGGAATGCAAAACAACACATTCTTTACAGAAACTGTGTGGGAAAGTTTCCCAATAGAATGTAAACTTAGAAGGCTTTAAAAAACTCAAGAATCAGGGTGACAGGGGAGCGGGTGGGTGGTGAATGAGGGGGGGGTCACGCTGGGTGCTGTCCCGCAGAGGGACCCAAAGCTGCCCCAAAATTCACAGGGAGGGGTGTGTGTAGAATACTAAAACCTGGCAAGTGTTTCGTTTTTATAGCTATTGGTAAAGAACAGGAATCTATTGCTAAATTCATTGGAAATTAATTTGGAAATTATCCACTCATTTGTATCCAGGAATGTAGGAAACTCTGACTGGGGATGGGTAGTAGTTTTCAAAAGAATGCCCTAACCTTTTTCTCAAGGAATGAACCAAGCAAGTGCCCTGAAACCACCGGAGCAGCTGCAGGGGCTGAAGGGAGCAGAAAGGGTTCTCTGACACCTTTTGCCTCCGTTCTCTGCCATTCCCCAAAAGGCGTCGCAGTCCCGGAAGAGGCGTTTGTCACACAGCCTGCCAAAATGAAGACCTGTAAAATCCTAGCTCTGCCTTTTTTTTAACGTGTTTTTACTTCATGTTTATGTCATCACAGAAAGCAAGGAAAGAAGAAATGTGACCGGTTCCCACTATTGCTCTGTGCAGGCATTTTTAAAGGCTGCTGTACTTATGTTCTCTTTTTCCACTCCAAGCTTGACTTTTCCCCTCCTTTTTCGAGGTCTGCTGCTTTCGGTGTCCCAGGAAGGGCTGGGTTCCTCGGAAGGGGTCTTAGGAGTTGGTGCCGATTCTGCTTTTTCCAAAGGTGTATCAAAGTGTGCTACCAAAAGGACTGTTTTCTCCAGGGGAAAGCTTTCTCTCAACGACCATCAATGCATGAATGTGTTTTAATCGTGTAACCAGATGGATTAAGAAAAGCCAACACCCGTAGCAGATTTCTGTTGGATCTGTGAGAAGAGGGCTGTGTGCTGGAGAGGGAGAGATGCTGTTGGAGAGTGGCAGCAGCGGCAGGTGTGAGCTGTGAGGATGAGGAGGGCTCAGAGCAGCCCCAGGTGTGAGCTGTGAGGATGATGAGGAGGGGGCGGCTCCTCCGGGAGCTGATTTAGGGGGTTTTTCTCAATTCCTTTTGCATGGAGCTGCTGGAAGAGAGGAGTTTATGGGGGGCTACCGGGGGTGTCTCATGGAAGGACGGTGAGCGCTTTGGACAGGGTCCAGGGGATCACCTGGATATGCACTTGGATACGTCATGCAGTGACGTTTGGTGTTCTTGACTGGAGCTGGGCAAGGGACCACAGCCCGGTGACCATAGGACATTCCCAGCAGGCGGGGCAGCCTCCACTCGCACGCGACATGGATTCTCATCCCCAGATGCCCGAGAGGTAAGTCGAAGGCTAAGGCCCACAGAGGGGATGAAAGTGAGGCGCTGGTAGGGCCTTTTGAATCAGCTTTGGGGGCAGGGATGTGCAAGAAGTGTCCCCTTAGGCCAGCTGAAGGGAAAGTGTCTGTTTTGAACACAGTGCTGAGGTACGCAGGGCAGAGCAGTTCTGGTGTGTGTCCTGTCACTTGTCTCTGGTGCACTCTATGTTGTTTGGTTCTCTCGGTCCTTGCACACATTCTTCTCATTGAAAGCTCTCTCTCCCTGTCCTGTCCCCTCATTTGTCACATCCTGTCCTGTGTCACAGGTGTCTGCACGTATTTGTCCCAGAGCTGCTCTGCCCTGCTGCCCAGGCAGTAATAGCACAACTCCTGGGGACTTGAAATATGTAATGCAGGGTGTATTTGGGCTCTAGATTGCATTGGGAGATTGACATAAGATGTTTGGTGCTGTAAAGTTGTCCTGCAGCCTTTTGGCACTAGTCCTAACTTCCTTTCAGGTGCAGACAGTTCAAATCTGTGGCAGAGAGCCCCAGTCCTGGGTGAGGGTGTTGCCATGAGCAGGTCAGTCATTGTTTGCATTTGCAGGGGAAGCTAAATGGTGACTATGTTACTGCAGTGTTCTTTTCCTTTATTTTTAGGAAGTCCATGCCAATAGCAGCAGTCAAGGCCAAGTGTGCTAGGTGAGCAGTGGACAGAAGCAGTTGTTTTTGCTCAGGTTTCAGTTTTTGGTGCAACTGTAAGCAACCATTCTTGGTTTTTTTTTTGCTCTAGGGAATAGTCTCAGAGTACACATACCTCTGTCACCCACTGGCTGATGGACCAGTTTTCATGCACTTGTGATCTCACTGGAAGCATTACAGGATCCTGTGATGGAGCCTTCCAATTTTGCATTTCAAGGTCCCATGCCGGTAGCCCAGAGGAATGGCCGAGGAGTTGCAGCGAGTCGGGGAGGTAGGGAGGGGGAGTGAGAGTCCACTCAAGTTTCAGCAATGCCACATCACCTTGTCTCCACTTAACCTAGGTGTACCCTGCAATGACGGCATCAGAATCCAAGCCCGCCCGAAGCGTGCAGGCCAAGAACCCGGGCATTCTGAGGAGAATGGTGAGTAGCAGAATTATCAGGTTTCGGCCGATGTGCTGTTAAGACTGTGCAGTGATGTTTGGTTTTCTTTCTCTTGGCAGACCAAGAGGTGACAGCTGGAACTTACCAGACTGGCAGACGGCCTTCTTCTGCAGCCAACAGGGATTTTCATCCCCACATGTGTGCAAGATAAGTGGAGGGTTATGACCCACAGAGGGGATGAAAGCAGGATGCCAGGTTGGGACTCCCCAGGAGGGGTTTTTAAGTCAGTTCTGGAGTTGGGAACGTTCAAGAAGCGTCTCCTTAGGCCTCCTAAAGGGAAAATGTTTCTTTTGATCTCAGTGCTGAGGAGCGCAGGGCAGAGCAGTTCTGGTGTGTGTCCTGTCACTTGTCTCTGGTGCACTCTGTGTTCTTTGGGTCTTTCGGTCCTTTCTTCTTGTTGAAAGCTCTCTCTCCCTGTCTTATCCTGTCCTTTGTCACATCCTGTGCTGCGTCACGGGTGTCTGCACATATTTCTCCTTGTGCTGCTCTGCCCTTTTGCGTAGCCTGGTGTAATTGCACCAGTCCCACAGATTTGCAATTTGGCGTGGGGCATGTAGTTGCATTCTAGGTAGTATTCCCAGTGTCACACCAGATGTTTGGACCTGTTAAGTTATTGTACAGCTGTTTGAATTTTCTCCCAACTTTCTTTCAGATGCAGATGGATTAACTCTGTGCCAAGTGCCCCTTGAGGTCAGGGGATTTCCCTGAGAAGGTCAGTCATTGTTTGTGTTTGCAGGGGAAGCCTCAATGGTCACTCTGTGTTACAGCATTTTTCTTTGTCTTTAGTTTTAGGAAGTCCAGGCAGCTAGGAGCAGTCAAGGCCCAGTGTGCCAGGTGAGCAGTGGACAGAAGTAGTTGTTCTGGCTGTTTTCTCAATTTCTGGTGCAATTCTGAGCATCCATTCTGGGTTATTTTGTTTTATTGTAGGCACTCCTCTTTCAAGATGTCTCTGGTCCGAATGTCCGAGCCCAGGTTGGGTGCAAGCTTAAGGTGCGGGTGGGTGTACTTTTCAGGTCAAGGGGGTGGTGTTTTCACAGTATCTCAGTGTAGGTTTTTTTGCTTTGTTTTTTTGTAGGTGCTGTTGCTGCCCTAGATGTGTGAAGGAACAGAGGCGAGCGGGTGAATTGGCATTTAGGCACGGTCACTCATAGGTGACTGTTATGCAGCAGCATGCTAAGTGTGTAGCTTTTCATTTTACAGGTGTCCTCCAGGCAGCCTGTGGAGTCAAATCGAGATTTCAGGTGAGCCGGGGCAGCGGTGTATCGGAGTTCCAGGGATTCCTCTTTTGGTGGGCACTAATTGCATTTTCCCTTTTGTCTTTGGTACCCTGAGGAGCTGCGTAGCTGAAGTTTGGAAACGGCAGCCCTGAAGCGGATGTAGAGAACATCTCACCGTCCACATCCAAGTGACATTGGATTCTGTCTGGTCGTCTTGCAAAAGCTAAGTGCTGGGACCAGTTGGTGGGAGATGGGGGAAAAACCTTTACTATCACAGGAGGCAATTTGATGTTAACTTAGAGGAGAGGCCCATAGTGGGACGGGCCCCTTGGCATCAAAGAGAGAGGTTTTCTCCTCAGCCTCGCCAGAGTCTTCGCCAGGCAGGGCAGTTCCGATCCGTCTCCACGTTCTCGTGAGGCTCCCGTCGGCGACCTTCTACGACTCTCGACATCGTTGTGGATCTTTTCACCCGAGGAGCCCGCCTGCACGTCTGGAGCTATAGCCATGGTCAACCCGTAGTCACTGCTTCCTTCTCTGCGCTTACTGAGCTTCTTAGGCTTCCTCTTAGTGCTTTGGCACTAACATCTTGAGAGGAGTTACATTTTATCATCGTGTGCTATTGCCCTAGGGCTTTCCTTCCTTTGGCATCATCAGACCATGGCTCATCTTGGGCTGGGAATCTTGGTCCATAAGGTGAAACTGCCATGCAGTTTCCACTCGTGTCCGTGTCATGATGTCTGTGTCCGGTGTCATGTTTTCCGTGTCCACTGATTTCTGTGTCATAGGCTTTTGTTACATCTCCACCTCTTTGTACCTACCTTGGCTTATGGGTTATGAGGTTCTGTTGTGCCAATTACGATCGGAGCTGCCCTGCCCGGGCACATAGTCACGCTTAGGTAGAGCAGTTGTAAAACTTTGTAGTTCATCTGTCTTGTATGGGGTTTTGGGTACAACACTGGTGGGCCCAGAGTGGGTATAGCTCCTAGCTGTAAGATAGTCAGTTGTTGACCGCCTCCCATTGTCTCGTAGGTCCCCGGTCCCTACAGAATTTCCTGGAATCTACCATTTGACGTCGAGGAGCAGCAGTCAGAAGATGTGTTGAAGCATATTCTTCAGCGTAGTGTTTCACATAAGGGTGGCATTCAGCGCGTAAGCAGAAGTGTGTGTGAGTGTGATTGTCTGTGTCTGTGAGAGTTTGTGTGTGCTCCTGTCTGCAGGTCTGAGCGTATGCTGACCGGTGTTAACCCTGTGTGTATGGCTTTTGCCTTTCAGGTTTTTCAACTCATTTTTGAGTTTAGAATAAAAAATCCCCAGCCGGGGGGTTTTTTTCTTTTCCCCCCCCACCCCCTGGCTGGGTTATTTTCCTCTGTCCTGGCCGGTCTGCGAGGCGACGGTCATCACTAAGGTTTGGCCACGGACCATCCCCTGACCAGGGTTTTTGTCAAGAGGATTTTTTGGAGGCTCCTGGGAGCCACATTCCCGAGGAACAATGATTTCTGGGGTATAACAGAGCAGTTGAGATGAGAGCGATGGCGAGGTTGTGTGTAACATGAAGGAGGTGCTCATGGTGGATGAGTGTTGTTTTGTGTGTGTAATCTTTGTTTTGGGTTTCCTCTAACAAGAAAACAAAATGTAATTAAAATAGAAAAAAGGATCATATTGTGTTGATATGTGTTTGGTTTCTATTGCCCTCTGTTGTTCTGTATTTGCATTTGCTGCTGCATTTCCATGTATTGCTCTGTATATATGCATGTCTATGGATTGTATCTGTACTTGCATTTGTATACATTGTTTCCATGTGTTTTGCTGGAGTGTAAATAAAAAAATTCATTCAGTAAAGTTGAATCAACCCTAGTAATGATGCCCCTGCTCCCTCACCTTCCAGCTTTGGCTCCTGTCTTCCTTTGGTGTGGTTTAGTAATTTTTTTTTCTCTGTGTTTCTTCCTTTGCTTCTCATCTTACTTTCTTATTTCTGACTTCATTTCTGTCTGTCCCTAACTCTGTGTTTCTATTTCTCACGGTTTCTAACTCTGTCTCTTTGCTTCTCTATTTCCTGCTATTTCTTTTCTCTTCTTTCTTTCTTTCTCTATTTCCAACTATTTATTTTTCTCTATATAGTTTATACTTTTTCTCCCTAGCTTTAACTCTTTTTTTCCTCTTTTTTACTCTCACTCTTTCTTTTTCACTCTAACCCTGCTCATTTTTCACTCTTTCTTTTTTCACTGTTTGCCACTGTTTTCCTAGTTCTTTTTTCCAGTCTCTCTTTTTCTCTCCAACTTCAACTTTTTTTAACCCTTTGTTTCTCTCTGTTTCTACCTTTATTTCTAACTCTGCTTTCCTTTCTAGCTTTAAAAAAACAGCAGTAAAAACTTTCAGGCTCCCTGGGAGTTTAAAAAAAACCAAAAAAAAACCCAACCAAACCTTTAAATAATTATTTAAAGAAAATTATTTAATCCCTGGGAGCCTGAAGTTTTCTACTGCTGCATCAGGCATATAGTTTTTCTTCTTTTTCCTAATAGATATAGGGTCCCTAATTAGTGATCCAGCTGGCAGGTAGCAATAACAATATGCAGCAACCAATATTCCCATCAAGCCCACCAGATGAATAATGATACAACCAGGAATTCATCATGTTGAAACATAAATTTTATGGGATTTAGAGATTTTAGAGGAGCTAAGATTTGTGTTAACTCTAGTAAGACAAGCCTTACTAGAGTTAATTGAAATAAATGAGTAGGTCTTGATAAAGTTGAAAGGGAGTAGTTAACTAGTAATTGATTGCCTGTCAGCACAATGTTTAGTTAGCTGGGTTTATAATGAAGACTATAGAAACTGACAAATAGCTTTTAGGAGCATAAGACAATTGTGGGCCTCCTCTGTTCTGAAATCAACTGAAGACAAGGAATGGGAGTTCTACCAAGAGTTCATTTGTCATATTTGCATTGAAACGGTAGAAAGGCCAGAACGAGGAAGACTTCATTTACTTCCACATTTTGGGACTCATCCCCATGAAAGGGACCACTGACCCATTTCAGGGAATAAACTTCATGCTTAATAGCTTTTGAAATGATTAGCATATGAAGCAAGGAACAGAATGTACCAAAATGATGAATATGTATTTGTATTTTCGGTATTCAATACTTGTATGGATAAAAGGGCTCTGTAATCACTTGGAAAGTGCAGTGTGTATTTGGGAACTATCCTGCATGCTGCTGGGCGTCGAATAAGCATACACTTTCTAACTTCAAACTGTTAGAGAGTTTTTGTCCGTCACAGTTGGATATCGGTACTAGATCAATATCCATATTTTTATTTTAATGAATCAACAACACAAGGATAGAATTGCACGAACAGGCGCTCTGCCCCCCACGGCCGCCGGCCGGCAGCGCGCCCACCCCTCGGTCTCGCAGCGCCGCCTGCCGGTGCAATTCGCGCACTGCACCCACTCCTCCCTCCGGCCCGCCCCTGCGCCGCGTCACCGCGTGACGTCACCGCGTCGGTGCCCCGACCCCTCCCCTCGCACCGCCCCCAGTGCCTCAGAAAAGACCCCAAACATTAGCCGCCCCAACAGCCGCCTGTCCGAAATTCCGACACCAATCCCGCACTCCAAAAACAATTCCGCGCGGCGTCCTCCGGTGCGGGTGCACCGGAACAACACCACGGCACGCAGGGCGTGCGGAGGGCACACAAAAAAACCGCCAAAATCGACCCCGTCCCGAAAGCCGCCATCTTTGGCCCCATCACGTGATTCTCAGGGCGCGGCCATATTTGAATCACTGGTCGGCGCCATCTTTGACCTCGTCACATGGCTACATGGGCGCCGCCATCATTTTCCCTTCACGTGACGTTATAGGCGCAGCCATATTTCCTCCAATCACGTGATGCAGTGGGGGCCGCCATCTTTGCTCCATCACGTGATCTGTGTATGCCGCCATCTTACCCGACACGTGATAGAATGGGCGCCGCCATATTTATGATGTAATATCCGGAGCGCCGCCATCTTTGCTCCGTCACGTGATGCCGTGGGCGCCGCCATTTTCTACGGATGTTGTTATTTTTAAGTTTAATTTTAAGGGTATTATTATTATTAGATTTATTTGAGGTTAGGGTTGGGTTAGGGCTTGCGTTTCGATTAGGATTTACGGTTCAGTTTAGGGTAAGGCTTTGAGGCAGGGGCAGCTTGGGTCTGAGACACATCCCTTGCCATTCAGATTTTTTGCAGGCAGTCGCCACCTCAGGGTCGCAGGCCCCCAAGCACAAACAGCGGCCCTTTTCCCTGGGTTCCTTATGTCGGTTTGCAGCAGGTGTTTGACATTGCCTCGGCAACCAGAAATTTATTCTGCTGCAGCTTTTGTCTGTCAGATATGTGGTGCCCCTCCTACCCTCACCTTCTCCCCTCACCCCTATTCTTCTCTGTCCCTGTCTCCCCCCCTCACCCCTATCTGTACTTCCAGCCCCCCCATCCTACTCTCTCTTCACCTGCCCCTGCCCCATCCCGCACTCCCCCCACCGCCCACCTGTGACTCCCAGCAGCACCACATGGGAGCCCAAACTTGTGGCGATAGTGCAGCCCTCACAGCAGGACAACACTTAAATAAAACAGGCAGGGATGACATCTGTGGGCTGCACGGTGTCACAAAGGGACCTGGGGACGAGGGCAGGGGGCTGGAGGTGGCACAGAGGGTGGGGGCAGCTGAGAGGCAGAAGGTGTCTGTAGGAGTAAAACGGGGGGCACAGAGATGCTGAGAGGCTGCAGTGGGGGGCTGGAGGGTGGCACAGAGGGTGGGGGCAGCTGAGAGGCACAGGGGGGCACAGAGATGCTGACAGACTGCGGTGGGGATCTGGAAGGTGACACAAGGAGGCTGAGGGGCAGAAGGGGTCTGTAGGAGTAAAAAGGGGGGCTCCAGGGTGGCACAGAGACACTGAGAGGTTGCAGTGGGGGAATGGAGGGTGACACAAGGAGGTTGAGAGGCAGGGGGTGCCTTGAGGACAAAGTGGGGGGTACCTGAGGGTGACAGGTGAACCAGCCCTCACACCACCCTTAACCTCACCCTAAAAACCACCCCTCCCTGGGTGGGGAGTGCACGGTGGAGGTTAGGGGGCCAAGGGACAGTGTCGGGGGCTTGGGGTGGCACACAGACATTGCGGGCTGAGGGGCAAATAGGGGGGACTTGACAAGTGGAGAGCTGACACTGAGGGTTAGGGGTACAAAGGACAGGACATAGGGTACCAGGAAGGCTTAGGGTACAGCAGCAGCCCTCACCCCAGCCCTAAGCTCACCCCAATCAGCATCCCTAGAACACCAGTTTTCCCCAACAGCAGCTACAGGCAGTGACCCTAATGCTGGGACAGCCCCGGAACCCCCCCAGCAGCTGCAGGCAGTGACTTTAATTAAAAGGTAGGGATGATGTTTGCTGGCTAGAGAGCGACTGGTAGAGCCTGGGGACTGAGAACTTTTTTTAGTGGTTTTTGTTTGTTTGTTTGTTTGGTTGGTTTTTTTTAGTGTTTTTAAAGGATATTTGAGGGTTTTCTCACAGGAGCTTTTTAGGAACTTTCTGGGAACATTTAGGATACCTTTAGGACTTTTTCAGGGCTTTAAAAAGATTTTTTTAAGGTATTTTAAGGGCTTTCTTAGTACTAATTAGAATTTTAAGTGGTTTTTTGGGGGGGGGGCTGTTCTTGGGGTTTTTTTAGGACTATTTAAAATTGTTTAGGGCTTTTTTAGGACTATTGGGGGTATGTGGAGGACTCCTAGGACTTGGGTATTTTTAAGTTTCTTGAGGGAAGTTTAATGGATTTTAAGGTCTTATCAGTGTGTTTTAAGGATTTTGGGGCTGTTTTTAGAGCTCTTTTAAGAATATTTAGCCTTTTTTTAAAGGTTCTTTGGGGATTTTTAGGGGTGTTTTAGGGGTTTTTTTAAGTAGGGTATTTTTATTGTATTTTAAGGGTATTCTGAGGCTATTTTTATGTTTTTGTGGGGGTTTTAAGACATTTTGAAGATGAGGTTTTTTTAGGGTGTTTTTATGGGGTTTTAGGGTTTTTTCATGGCATAGAGGCTGAAGGGCAGCTTGAGGGGCACTGTGTGGGCTTGAGGGTGACAGAGGCTGGGAGCTGAGGGAGGAACAGGGGGAGGGGACAGTGGGTGACACAGAGAGATGCTGAGGGGGGCAGCGGCAGCTGGAGGGTGACACAGAGAAGCTGGGGGATGAGGGGCAAAGGAGAGGGATTCAGGGTGGCACACAGAGCCTGAGGGCTGGGGGGCAGAGGGAGGGGTTGAGGAGCAAAGGGAGAGGGTTTGAGGGCTGGACAGTCTAGTGGAGATCAGGGCTACAGGGTACAGCTTAGGAGGCAAGTTAGGGTACAGGTGCATCACTCCTCACCCCAGCCCTAACCTCACCCTAAGCAGCCTTTTCCCTTTTCACCCCTAACAACAGCAGCGCAACACAGCAAGCCTCACAGCAAGACCACACCGGAACACGGCAGCAACCCTCGCACCAGGACAACGCCAGAACCCTCAGAGGACAACAGGACCTGCTGCAAAAGGGTAGGGATGACATCTGTGGGCCAGAGAGCAACAGGAAGGGGCTTGGAGGCTGAGCAGGCTTCCTTGAGTGGTTTTTTTGCAGGACTATTAGGAATATTTAGGGGATATTTGAAGGCTTTTTAGGACTTTTCTGGTGTCTTTTAGAGTATTGTTACACCTTCCTAATGGCTATTTTAGAATTCCTTGGTGCATTTTTAGGGTCAGGATGTGGGTCAAATGGGATGCCCGCTGAAAATGCCGAGTACTACTGGAATGCAGTGGAATGCTTTGGGAAGGTGCCGGTGGAGGGCCAGCG